CTCCTCCTCCTCCTCTCGCCCCCTCCTCCTCTCGCCTGGCGAGGGGGGGAACTCTGCACCGCTCCCCGGGTCCGCCGTGGGTGCGCGTGGCGGGCGCCCTCCGTCCCCTCGGCGTGGAGCTGTGGCAGTACGCGGTGCGGCTGGAGCGTCCGCACGGCGAGGAGGGTCCGCCCGGCGAGGGGGAGGCGGGCAGGGCCAGCGGCTGCCTGACCCGCGAGGATCGGGGGCGGCCAAGAGAGGGGTGATGACTAGGGAGGGTGGATATCATGGAGTGGGGCATGATATTTCCCCAGATGTCATGGCGCCTCTTCTTATTTCATTACTTCCCTGGCCCCCCCTTGGGCCGCGCACATGCCGCCGGCCATGATTTGCGCCCCCCCCTCTTGGACGCCCCCCTCGTGGCCGCCCCCGAGAGGAGTACGAGCGCCACACCAAGGAGATCAGGTTTCGCATGTACAGGTTCGAAGGGATCGAAACAGAAACGCGGCATAAACTTTTGGCGCTCCGCGCGGATTTTTTGGATCCGCGCTGGGCCCCCCCGGCGGCTCCTCCGGCGCCGCCCCCGGCGCGGTCTGCGCGCCAGAGAGGGTGGCCCAGCGCGGTTCCAAGAAATCCGCGCGGAGCGCCTTTATGTTCATGCCGTTTCTTTTCCTTCAAAAGAAGAGCAAACCAGATCCGAGGCAGTGATGTATCCATAATGACCCCCTGGGGCATCGATCTTTTGGCACCTCGGCAGGCGGTGGATGTAGACGTGTTCGGGCTTCGGGGGGGTGCCAAGTGCACCAATGGCCGCCGCCTGCCGCGGTCCCCGAAGCTCGACCCTCTAGGCGGTGGGCGGTTCCGGATAAATCCCCGCCTCGCATCAGAGGAGCAAGTATTAAGTCGGGCCTGTCCCTCTACAGGGGGAATATCCAAAAATAGTCAAAGGATAGTCGTGGGACGTTTTTTTTTTTTTTTTTTTTTTTTTTTTTTTTTTTTTTTTTTGTTTTTGTTTTTTGTTTTTAGTACTTTCGAGCATGTTTAGTGTATTTTCTGATTATTTTTAATTTTTCGCCCAAAGTCCACCTGTAGGGGGACAGGCCCGACCTCAAGCAAGTATCTTGCTTCGAGTTGTCCTCACCCGAGAACGCGAGGCGGGATACCCAGGGAGCACCAGGCCCCTTCTGGGGCCTGGCGGCCGCTGTATGCGGTCGTTTTTCGCCGGAGACGTCAGGCGCAATAGCTGGGGAGCACCGGGCCCCCCGTGGCTTGCAGGCCGCGGTATGCAGTCGTTGTTCGTCGAAGATATGGGGCGTAATACACAGGGAGCACCAGGCCCCGCGAGGCCTGTAGGCCGCGGTACGCAGGGTGTGCGAGGCGGGTCGGGACTTCATCTTTTATCCAGCAATGTCGCGTGGATAGTGAGTTATGATAGTGATACGTTTTTCTATTGCCCCGCACGTTCCAGAAGCGAGGGCCGCGAGACGTTCCAGAACTCCTGGAACACATCCTGAATCAGTCACAACATGACACCAGTCTCGCCTACGAAAGCAAAGCGCCCATCACTTTCAGTTGGTCGGAGGTCCGCGCGGATTTCTTGCATCGGCGCTGGAGCCCCCTCCCAGAGCGTGCCAGGGGCGGCACTGGAGGCTCCGCCAAGGGGGGTCGAGCGCCGATCCAAGGAGTCCGCGCGGACCTCCGAAAAGCTGTGCTTATGGAGTTTGTTCTTCTGCAGGTGCCTGCTGGAGCGCGGTCCCCAAGGCTCCGGGGCCGTGATCCTGGGGCACCACCTCGACGACATCGACGAGAACCGCCTGGATCACCTGCAGAAGGGCCACTTCCTCGGCGACGTGGAGGGGATGCGCGAGTGGCGCGAGATTCACGGCGTCCCTCTCCTCAGGCCGCTGCTGCGATGTCGCAAGGATCGAACACGGAAAATCTGCTCGCTCGACACGCGAACTCTCCGAGATCCGCACGGATTCCGTGGATCTGCGCCGGGTGCCCCCCCCACTCCCAGCGGCCCCTGGCGCGCTCCGCGGGCCCAGCGCCGATGCAAGAAGTCCGCGCGGGCCTCCGAAAGCTTATGTCTAACCGGGTGCCTTCGGCAAGCCCCGCCGCCGAGCCACCTCAGCCCGTTGAGTTGCGTGTTGTGCAGTTTGTGCAGCTCCAGTTAAAGTTTATGCAGTCCTGTGCCACCGAAGCGAGTCAGTGTTAGTGCAGTTTGATATTCCTGTATCGTTCCTTCTCCCTCTTTCCATCTCCTCTTTTCCCTCTTCCTATTCAAGTGGCTTGCGCCATTCCGCCTATCCCCAGAAGGAGTAAGAGCTTGCGACGTGGAAGTTCTCTAGTGGCCGTCGGCCCAGCCCGCCACCGTGCCTGGGCTGTGGGCCAGGAGCCTCTGGTCATAAATCCGAGGGTCTCTTGGGGAGGGCTCTTGGGTACATCTGGGAGGCTGGTTGGGGCCTCTAGGGGGCCTTTTGGAGGTTTCTTGGGGGCGCCTTCGAGACCTCTTGGGGCCTCTTCGGGGTGCCTCTGGGGCCTCTGGGGGGCTCTTGGGTCCATCTTGCAGGGAAAGGCTCAAAATATCAGTTCGTATCCCCCCACTTGGGTTCGCTTGGTGCCCTCTTGGCCCTTGGGGCTCTCTTGGGCTGTCTTGGGGGCCTGGGCGGTCTCAGGTCACTCTTGTGACGTTCTTGGGGGACCCTTGGGCAGTCTTATCAACTGTCAAGACTAAAAAGCGAGTGTGCTAGAACATATATGTTTCCCGAGGGAGTGGGAAGGATGTTTTCCCTTGGTGCCTTCTCGGTGGTCCTCTGGGAGCACTTTTGAGTCGTCTTGGGGGCCTTGTGGGCAGTCTTGAAGTTATCTTGGTTCGTCGTAGGGCTACTCTGGGCCGTTTCGGTTCTCTCTCCGACTGTCTTGGCGCTCTGTCTGGGGCCTCCTTGGGCTTCTTGGAGGCTCGGGAGGCCTCGGGGGTGCGTTGGCGAGCTCGTACTTGTTTGCGCCTTTGGATGGATGTGCGGGGGAGTCTGCTGACAGCGACCTTCGGTATTGTCGTATGTGCCCGAAACTCAAACGTTGCCTCGTCGGCATTTTTCCCCGCGGTGGTCTACTGTCGTCGTCGACCGAGCAGTGCGATGGTGACGATTGGCTGTGAGCACTTTGTTGTGTGGGGCCACGTTGGGGGGGGGTCTCGTGACCTGGTGGGCCGCGCTCTAGTTGGCGGTGTTCTGCCGGCCCACGACGCCCCTCAGACGGGCTCCCAGGTCCCTGGGGACTTCCTCGTTAAGGCTCGGTTGAGGCAATTATTTCGCTGTGGCCCCAAACTGCCAAAGCGCTCTGGTCGCTCCGTCTTGTCACCGCTGCTCGAGCGCACCCCCCCCTTCCTCCGCCTGTTTCCCCCACCCCCCATCGGTGGGCGTTGAGTATCCCTTCCTTTTTGTTTTCATTTTTTTGTGCCATCCTTAGTTCCCCCCTGTTGTCCCCGCTCCTGAATGTCGTGAGGCTGCGCCCCCCAAGCGTATTGGTGCAGCGATTTTGTTTTTCCCAGGCAAACATATTGGATTTTCAAGTTTGTTTCGTGTTTTCTTTGTTCAGGAGTTGTTGTGTCGCCGACACGTCCCGACGTTGGGCATTCGGCGTGCGGCTTGCGCGCAATCTCGGCTCCGCGCGTCATTTCAGCGGTGTCGCCCCCGGTCTGCTTCCGCCTCGTCTCTCTGCTGCCCTTTTTCCTTTAAGTTCGGAGCCGCGTTTTCGGGTGTCGTTTCAGCTCGCGGTGGCCTCTTCGGGGGTTTTGTGCGCGTCGTGGGCCGTCTGGGAGCCGTCGTGGGTGTCGCGGGCCGATGGTTCGACGACTCGGAGCCCTCTTGGACCGTCTTGGGCGCTTCTTGGGGCCCTTTTGGATCGCCTTTGGGCGCTTGAAAGCCGCGCCCAGGAGGAGCGCCATCTCTGGCACGACCTGGCGGGGGTACTTTGCGTCCGGGGGCCCCTAGGGGGCGCCCCGCGCGCGCGAAGTAGAAATGCTGCGAGGCCGTCGCCAGGGATCTTCGCGCGCCTCTGGCCCGTTGGGCCGGCGAGTTTCACCAGAGATGTTTGCTATGAGGCGCGCGATGAATTAGCGGGCCAATTTCGACGACTCCTTCTCTCCTCGTCTCCTGCTGCTGCTTCCTCTTCTTTCCTCTTCCCGCTGCTGCTGCTGGTCCTCCTGCTGCTGCTGCCGCTCCCTCTTCTCTTCTCCTTGCCGTCGCTGATGTTGCGCGGGCACGCCTGCTTGGCATGCTGCCGTGCCAGGCAGGCCCGTGAATCTGCGCCCACCATTTCGGCCGCGATTTCGGCCGCGATTTCGGATGCGATTTCGGCCGCGATTTTGTTTGCCCGCGATTTTCGGTGTCGATTCCGCGCCTACTTGTGAGGCCCCACGAAACTACCCACGACTTTGAACGCGATTTTTGTCGTATTCATTGAATTGCGAGAGAAATCGCGGTCAAAAAATGTGCTTCCGCGGAAGGGAGGCAAGAACAATTTGCAAAATCGGGGCCAAAAAGTGCCTCAAATCGGCGCTGCGGAAAGGAGGGGGGGGAAGGAGGGCGCTGCGGAAAGGCGGCGGGGGTGTCGGGGAGGGGGCCAGGGGCTCCTCCAGGGGCCCCCGTTCGTTTGGAGGGGATGCCCGCGCGGCGGGCTGCGTTGCCTCGCGCTGCGGGTTCGCGATTGCGCCGCCGCGCCCGCGGCCGCTGAGGCTTCGAAGCCGACGTTTGCCGTCGGGTCCTTCTTCTCCGCCACGAGCGCAGCTGCGCGCCGTGGCCCCCGAGGGAGTGCAGCCAGCCCTCGCCGCGGTTGCGGCGGAGTCTGCGCCCGCGGCCCCCGCGCCTGCGGTGGGCTCCAGGGGCGGAGTTTGCTCGACTTGCGCGGGCATGAGATCCAGCTGCCCCCGGCGTCCCGCCACTTCCCCATGCAGCGCTCGCGCTCGAGCGTTTCTTCTTCGCGCGGGGTCTCCAAAGTGGCCCTTTCGCGTGGTCGTCGGTCCCGCGCTGGCGCGTTCCATCATAAATCAGCTGGCGAGGTGGTTATCCCTCGCAAGCTATCGGCCGCGCGGCCTGGACAGCACGTGGCGTTTCGACGGCAGCGCGCGCGCCGATTCCATTTGCACTTCGACGGCTGCGCGCTTCTAGGATCGCGCGGGCGCTATGCCCAACGACCGCGGAACGAAACGTCATCGCGGTGATGAGTTCCATGGCGGTCACGTGGCGGCCTGGCTCTGGGGCCGGGGTGGTCGCGCCTCCGCGGCGCGCGTGGCATGGTTCAGTGGCAGGGACAGGCGGCGCGCGGCCATTCGATGGCGCGCGGGTGTTTCATGATGCTTCCCCGCCGTCCGGCTTGAGGGGGGCAACGCGATGGAGGTTTCACCATTTCGAAATCGTTGCGGCTCTTTGGGGGGCGGGGGGACTCTGCTTGACTGTGAATGTTAATGGCCGTTTTTGCGATCCTTGTGGGTCTCTGGAGCTGGGCCGATTGTTTCCCGATGTTTTTCGGCGTCGCTGGATTATATATATATATATATATATATATATTAAATTAAATTAAATATGAATAACAATAATAATCATCATCATAATATTCATAACACTATTAATAACAGTTATAATGATACTAATAACACTAATGATAATGATAATAATGATAGTGATAATACTGATAATAATACTAATACTAATATTATAATACTACTAGTAATAATACTAATACGGATACTAATGATAATACTAATATATATATAATATATATATATATATATATATATATATATATATATATGTAAAAAAACAGAACATATATTTCTTGGTTACTTCGGGGTCTGCCGTGGTCTCCCAGATTCGGATGAATGGCTTATGGGCATTGGTCCCTGTCCGCCAGCCTTCCTTTTCCTTTCCTTGCCTCTTTTGTCCTTGCTTGTGTTCTTCCGTCTCCCGTGCGGCCTCGGGGCCGAGGGCAAGGGCGCCCCGCTTCTCTCGCTGCGCCCGCCCCTCGGGCCGCCCCGCCGCTCCGCCGCCCCATTCGCCGCCCCCCGCCGTGTTGGACTTGAAGTTCGGTCCCTTGACCGACCCGTCGGGTCGTCGGCGGTCGGCCCCTCGGTGCAGGGGGCAGAGCGAGGATTTTTGCTGGCTATCTGCCTTGGGCTGCTAGTATTCAGTACGCATGCTTGCGGGCGGCATGCGGTGCCTAGAGCGCTCTGCTCCCGAGAGCTGGGTCCATTCGCCCCGCTGGGTTCCCGACGAAGTTCGAGGCGCTAGCGGCGCCCCGCGGGTGCCGTCCTCTCTTGGCCCGCCTCCCCGCGCCATGTTCCTGGCGTAGTTCGAGGCTCCTGCGTTGCTGGGACCTCGCCTGTGTTGTGACCTCGTTTTTGTGGGGCGTGTTTTTTTTGTGCTTCTTCTAATCTGCGATGGTGGGTTGGGCCTGTCGTTCGGTGGGGAGTGATGGTGGTTCGGGTTCGTGCAGGAGTGGTGGTTCGCTCGAATCACGATGGTCCGACTTTGATGGGGGCGCGCGCCCCCTGGGACAGCGGGCTCCTCGTGCAGAGTCCCCGCCGCTGCTCTTTGTTTCTCTTGCGTTTTTTTTTGCATGCGTGGCATGGCCCGCAGCTGAAATTTTGACCATTGAGCGTGTGCGCAAAAGTTATGCTCCTCCTCCTCTTCCTCCTCCCCCTCCTCCCCCTCCTCTTCCTCCTCCCTGTCCTCCTCCTCCTCCTCCTCCTCCTCCTCGTGCTCCTCCTCCCCCTCCTCCCCCTCCTCGTCCTCCTCCTCCTCCTCCTCCTCCTGCTCCTCCCCCTCGTCTTCCTCCTCCTCCTCCTCCTCCTCCTCCTCCTCTCTTCCTCCTCCTCTTCCTCCTCCTCCTCCTCCTCCTCCTCCTCCTCCTTCTCGCCCCCCCTACCTCCCCGAGCAACGGTTTATTCAGGGTCTCTTATTTTCATGTCTGAAGTATTTGGGCGGGTCCCCCGATGTTTTTTAGCGTTGCCGCGCCAGGCCGCCTCGCGGGCGCTCGTGGGCGCCCCGTGCATTGGGTGGGTCCGCCAAGGTTGCGCCGCGTTGCCGCGCCGCTTCGTGGGCGCTCGTGGGCGCCCCGTGCGCTGGTTGGGTCCGCCAAGTTTGCGCCGCGTTGCCGCCCATGCCGCCTCGTGGGCGTTCGGGGGCGCCCCGTGCGCTGGGTGGGTCCGCGGGTGCCACCTCGTGGGCGTTCGTTGGCGCCCCGTGTGTTGAGATCGCGCCGCATTGCTTTCAGGACATAAGTTTCACCGTATATATCACATACCATAGTTTACACAACATAGCTAGTACCACGTATATGCCTTTTGACCTACTGCCCACACCGCATGTGTTGCACGACGTTGCTCAATCTTCCTAACGTTCACGTCGATAGTTCACTTCATATGGTTTGCATAACATAACTTAAACCACATATCTCGCACCGTTTCTTTTTAACCTCCACAGTGTGATAATTCACTGTTTGGGGTCCATGTTGGGCAACATCTATATATATATGTATATATGTGTCAATGTGTGATTTTCCCGGAACCGTGCTGGCACCTAGCTCTTTTGATTTTCTTTGCCCAAGGAGTTTGGCGGGTCCGCCGAGGCTTCGTCTGGTGCCCAGTTGGCGGTCGGTCATGGGCGCCTCGTGGGCGCCCCGTGCGCTGGGTGGCTCCGCCTGGATCTCGCCTGGTGCCTGGTTGGTGGCCGGTCGTGGGCGAGTCGTGGGGGCTTCGTGCGTGCCCCGTGCGCCACATGGCTTGCACCACATCGATTGCATCACATGGCTTGCACCACAGCGCGCACCATATTTATTGCACCACGCAGCCTGCACCACATACATCTTGCTTTACATGTGGATGTGTGTGTATTTATTATATATATACATATATATACATGCGTATTGTTCTCAACCGACTCATCGGATCCCCTCCCCCCCCGAGCCAGCTTTTCTCGACACGCTTTGGGGCATTGCAATTTTTACGTGTGATTTTTGTTCGTCTTTGATTTGCCATGTCAGTTCGTACCATTCCAGCCCAACTGGTATCGGCCCTTCCGCCATCCCTGTCAAGTCGTACAATACGCCAAAAAGCGTTTACTTGAAACGATTTTTTCAATAGTCCCTGGCCAAAAATGGCACAACGCCCACCCGCGCGCATGCTGAAATCATACCAAACACATTCGTGTTCACGCATGTCAGCAAAATCGCCACACGATCTGTAGGTTTGTACATCATGAATCTTGCAGCTTTTCTCTTCGCGTGCATTTGCTGAAATCTGAGGAACTCTATATTACAACACACATACTTCGTCCAGAACCCGCATTCTTACCTCACCGCGCGGTGCATCCGCGTTGATCCCGCATGCGCCCAATGCACGAATCCGTTACAAATATTACCGTGCGGGCCACACGCGCGCGCCGCCGCACTCGTGTGTCGAATTCCGTCCAACACCAATAGTTTCCGCAGCATTTCAAGATATAACTCCTCACGCAAACACGCAGACGCGTGAAACACAAGTGCGTGTCGGCAAAAAGTATAGTTAGTCTTTTTGCGCGCGCATTTCTTCACCATTATCCTCAGTAGCTTCATCGCATCGCCGCCGTTCTCGTCATCGTCAATCGCCGCCGGTGCCGCCATCATCAGTCAATCAACTTCGTCACCAACATATGTACAGCATCATCGTCATCGTCGTCACCAGCATCGGCGTCGTCATTGGCCTTCCCGTCGTCATCGTCATCACCGCCACCACCATGATTAATATCATCATCGTTGCCGCCGTTCTCGACGTTCTCATGACACCGCGCCCGCCCGACCCGTCGACATTGAAGTGCCCGCTCGCCAGCGCGGTCCCTGAGACGCGCTCGGAAGTTCCCATCGGCAATCGCTATCGCGGCCGGATCAGTTGTGCCAAATCAGCTGGCCGCTCTGAGCGCGAGCCAGCGTTCGCCAACGCGGCCGCAGATATGCGATGTTTGCGCGGGCAGTGGATTTAACCATTCATTCCTTACAGAAGCTGGTTGCACCTCGCAGCTGGCCCCACATGTGTTGCGTCTCGTACGTTTCACATCCAGAGTGCAGTGACTTGTTGTTCGGGGTTCGCGCTGGCGAACCTTTTCCGCCGGCGCGCCCAGGGGGAAGTTAAAGGGGCGGGCTTCCTCAGAAAGTTCGGAAGTCTTAGTCTAGCCTTCCGAGAAGCTTTCGGAGCCTTCCCTGAAGACAGGGAACTTCCCCGAAGGCCGGAGGGCTTTTGAGAAGCCCGGCCGCCCTCCGAGAAGCAATGGGCCTGTTTTCCACCACCACCACCACCATAAGTTGGAGGGGGGAGGGGGTCCTCCTCCCCCTCTTCTTGTTCTTCCTCCTCCTCCTCATCCTCCACCTCCTTCCCCCCTCCAATTTATAGTGGTGGTGGTGGAAAACAGGCCCATCAAGAAGGCCTCCTCCTTCTCACTTGCCCCGCTCGCTCGCCGCCGACTTTTTAGCTGCTGCCTCAGAGGAGGACTTCCAGAGCCTCCTCGCGGTGTTCCCCGTACCCTTCCTGCGGGACTCCACGCCGGCGTGGTCGGTGCGGGGCGGCACCCGGGCAGTGCTCGAGTCGCTGGGGCTGGAGGAGCGCGGGCGGCTCACGGCGCTGCTCGACGAGTTCGGCGCGCTCAGTGCCGAGGCCCCGAGGAAGAAACGCGGCAGCAGACGCCAGTCGTTGAAAGTGGGTATTTTTGGCTACCCGGGTCCCAAGCTTTACTTCAAGCGCCTTCCTTCTGCCAGAGTCGATCTGTTTTTGCGGTGATCTATTTTATCCGCCTTCCTACTTCATGTTTCCACCTACTTCTTCCGACTGCTGGGCATCGTCGGCGAAGAACATATCCGTATCCGCGGCCTCGCGGGCCAGGCTCTTGGGCCGCGACCCCGCGGATGCGCGGCGCTTTTTCGGATGCCCCGCGCGGAGCGTATCCGTGTGACCGCGCACCCGCGGGATCGCGCCCCGGAATCCAGATCGTGAGGGTCTTGGATCTGGCTACGTTCGCCGCTCATGAGCACAGGCTGGCCTGGCGTGAGGGAATTGGGCCCCGCCCCAGATCCCGGGCCAGCTTCTAGGCACGCGTCGACCTTTTGCTCCTCCTCCTCCTCCTCCTCCTCCTCCTCCTCCTCCTCCTCGTCTTCCAACGAGATCTATAAAATTTCCACTGCCCCAGGCATTGCCTGGTCAGTGGCGGTATATGTATACAGATCCTGCCCTCCTTCTCCTCCTCCTCCTCCGAAAGCAGATCCAAGAAATCCGCGCGGACCCCCGATAGCTGGTGTTCATGCAATTTTCGTTTTCCTCTACCGTCCCTTCTCACTCTCCTCCTCCTCCTCCTCCTCCTCCTCCTCCTCATCCTTCTCCTCTTGGCTCCCCTATCTCCTCCTCCTCCTCCTCCTCCTCCTCTTGTAACGTCAGCCTCGAAAGTATAAATGGAGGACCCCCCTCCAGTGAGAGTTGATGTTGGACCTCGACCTCGTGCTCGACAACTTGTGCAGTTGCAAGCGCACCGCGTCTTTGCTGCCAAACCGAGTCGGAAGCCACGTCTGGGTGACGATTCGGATGAGGATGAGGCAGACGCTCAGGTATCGACTGGGCCGGGAAGATGCAGCAAGCCGTTTAGCAGGGTTTTGGGGATGATGTCTCTCGGGCTGGTCGTCTAGATTTCTTGTGTCAACAGCTGTACGCAGGTGCTGAGAAGGAGTTGGTCCCACTGATTGATTGTGCAGACTTTCCCAAGCACCAGGGTCGTGGCAGCGAGGTGATCCATCGCAAGACTACATCGGGTGGAGCTCTCACAAAGCAGCAGCCCGCAGGGACAAAACATTCGCGCGCTGTTCGGATTCTTCAGCATGGACTGGAGGACTTGAGGCGCATCGTGATGACACGTGGCTGCATTCCTCAGCCTCAACACTACGTGGTGTGGCGACCGCTGTCCGGATTCGTGGGTGGGCATGGTCGCCTACGCTGAGTTACTTCGTCGCTCGACCCTGGCCTGATCGATGAGCTGGCCTGCTACCTGCTGTGCAGCTTCGCCCAACCGTCGCAGTTTCGCGTGGTCATGCTCCGCACGCTGGCAGTCAGCGACGGCTGGGGCAGGCAAGATGTGAGGGATTCGTGAACTGGCTTCCTGACTGTTGCAGTAGTCACCCCAAGCCCGTGCACTGCTGGACGAAGCCTCGAGGATGGCAGCTTCCTCAGGTTGACATTCCCCTGGGGCCTTCCAGCCACGCAGTTGATGTGGCCAACGTCCAACGAGAGCTTTGAGAGCGTCTCTGGGGCGGTGGGCCTTTGCCGGCGTCCCTGGAGCTCGCGCAGCTGAGAGACATGGCTCCTCGTGAGCCGCCCACGGAGATTCAGGAGCTCCGACAGGCTGCCAAGACGTTCCCGCCATGACCGCTGTAGGTTCTGACGCTTGGAGGCCTGAGCACTGGGCCCTTGTTTCCCACGGAGCGTTTCTTTCCTGGGAATTTCTTTTCTGTCTGTGTGAAGCTAGAGTATCCTGGCCTGCATATCTTCGGCATGTTCACATAGTGCTGCTTCGGAAACAGACTGGTGCTTATCGTCCCATCGCTCCCCTGGCTTCGTTACATCGTGCATGGGCCAAGGCCCGAATTGATCGTGTTCGCGCCAGGGCAAATCAACTAGGCCGGTCTTGCCTTGCACTCGGCACGGAGCGATCGACCATGCACGTCGCCTTGATGGTTTTATTCTACGGCGAAGCTCACCCTCCGCAGAAAAAGCAGGCTTCGAACGAGGACACTGGCCTGCGCACTATCGTGGGCATTGAGAATTGTTTCGGTCGAGTGAAGTAGGCTGTCTCAATGCGCGCTGCCACGAAGCACGGGTTGCCGGGGGTTCTGGTATGTCTTGCCCTGCGCATGTGCGCGTGCGAGCGACGTTTGGCATGGGGTGGCGCCTTCTCCGAACCCGTCTTCGCGTCTCGGGGAGAACTTCCAAGATGCAGCATGGCAATGCTTATTCTTCAGTTGGTCCTCTTAAATCCTGTGGACTGAATAGATAGTTGCTCGGCGCACATCGGTCGAGCGCTGCGCGTCAACGTTGGCGATTCCGGTATTCCAGGTGAAGGCTACTTACGATTTCATTTTGCAGCATGCGTGCTACTTTTTTGAAAGGCGTGGTGGACCACCTCGGGTCCGTGGATTTTGTACCCGCCAAGCGCAATATTACCTTGACTAGTGCTTACCCTTCCGTGGCTAAACGTGTGTGTCATGTTCTAGGTACCGAAGTCATTTCGTGCCGTGCTTTTCGTGTCCTGACGATGAGTGGTCGGAAGATGAGGGTCTTTTCCCTTGGCTTCGACGGCTTCGGAAACCATGTGCTCTTGCTGGCAGGTTTGTGAATGCTGCTGCGCCTGCTGCTCTTAGCTATGGTGTTGGTGTTCGCGGAGCGCCATCAGCAGTTGTAAGGTCCATGCGTATCGCGCTCCGTAGCGATTTGTATGAACCAGGCCGGGCAGGTTCTTCCTGGAATTTGTCTTTCTTGCACGGAGGGACCCCCCAGTGCCCTCAGACAGCAGCGTGGGCAGACCCAATCTACCAATGGTGTCTCATGTGCTTTGGTCACATCGCGCTCTATTTCAGGCCGCTTGGAACCGACGGGCCTTTCTCGCCTACTCCGCGCAGCTCTGGGGCCAAGTTGCGAGACCTGCTGGGGCCATTCTCTTGGCTTTCCGATTGCTGTTGTGCGTGTCGTCTTCGGCATTCGCGGTGCGAGCTGATCGTGGGGGTGTCCTGGATCTCAGGCGAGCCTCTCCGCTAGCTGTTGGAGACCGAGCTCGCGATTCCGCTATGCGTCGCTTGTGGCGTGACCGGGCCTCTCGGCCTGATCGCGGTGCCCCTTGCACCAGCAGCCCCAAGACCCCCGCGTGGTACTGGCTGGCGCCCATCGTCTCGCTCTTCGGAGAGGCTCGTCAGGAGGAAGACCCAGACGGGCCATCCTCCCTCTCCTACTGGGCTGCTGGCGCTAGTCGGGCCGTGGTCACGGGAAGACTGTGGACCCCTGCGAGGCGAACGGCGCACGACGACATCGACGCGGCACGTTGCCCACTGTGCCCAGTGGTTTCAGCCGACGCTTTTCACATACCTTGGACGCGCGCAGGCACGCATGGTGGTCGCGACGACTTGTTCGATAATCCCGCGCCCGTCTCTGGCTTCTGGATTCTGGACGAGGGTGCTTCTTTCGAGGGCAGTGCTTCCCGCTTTGCCATCTCGTGATGACGCGTGCGCGTGGCGCTCGATGCAGGGGCCTTGTGAAGTGATCGCGGGTCGCCTCTGCTCGGATGAGGCTTGCCGCACGGATCATTGCTTGATGGGCCAGGTTCCCACCACCACTACCATAGGTCGGACGGGGGAGAAGGGAGGCTGGGGAGGTCCGCCTCCTCAGCCTCCTCCTCTTCCTCCTCCTCCGAGCCTCCTCCTCCTCCTCCCTCTCCTACCTATGGTAGTGGTGGTGGGAAATCGGCCCACCATTGCTGGGCAGCAGCGTCTCGTGCGGGGTGGGGCCTCGCTCGGCTCGGGGATCTTTCTTGCGTTCCGCTGTGCGTATACGTACCGGCCTTCGCCCAGTCCGCTCTTCGAGTTTCCCCGAGGGCGGGGCTCTGCGCCGTTGTCCAGATCCCGAGGGTTGCCATGCTGCCGCTCGCAATCAGCGCGGACTAACTCGATTTGCCCCATGGTCTTGCTCGCTGGCCTCTGTGGGGGTGCTTGTCACGGCGCCCGAACTGTGACTTAGGGTGTGAGGTCCGGCGTCGGGGACTTGGGAGGTTCAGGTTCGGATTTCCATGCTCTGCATGTTCTGGGGCACTAGAGCGTATGTTTTTGAGGCCCGAGGGAATCGCTGGGCTGGTTGTGGGGCCTGTCAGGGCCGAGATCTTCGCGCCATCCCAGGCAGCGATGCTCGTGTTCTGAAGCGGCAAGCTAGGGCTGCTCGAAAAACGCTGGTCTGGGTGGCCAAGGCGCACGCGAACGATATGAGTGGCATTGTTGTCCCAGGTCAGGATCGTTTTGAGCAGCGTCGCAAGGCGCGAAGTAGTGCGTCTGCCTGTGCTGCTGCTCCTCCTGACCCTGGGCTTGTGCGCGTTTTCTTTGAAGTCGGAGCCACGTGGCCATGCGCCACCTGCTCCGAGACCGTTAGGTCCGATTAGCGGTGCAACAGATTCGCGAGGCGCCGTTGTTCTGCGAAGATTACACTTTCTGCAACGCTGTTTTCCAGGGCGTCGGGCTGTCAGCACCCTCCCCTGCGTGGAGTCCGAGCGCCAGCCTGGCATGCCGCCCTCTCTCGATGCTTCGCTCAGGGACGACGGTGCCGGCACTTCGGGTCCGACGGCAGCCGGTCTCGATGCGAGGATTGAGGGCGCGTCGGCGCATCGAGCCGCGGCCGAGGGCGGGGGATGGAATGTCGTCCCCGCCGTCGCCTTCGAAGGGGGGCTACTTCGAGTGCTGCCCGAGCTCGCCTGCCGCCGCCCGTCCTGCGACGGGCTCGTGCGAAGCCGAGAGCCCCCGCTGGCGAGTCGGTGCCGCCTCCCCTCCCCTCGCCTCCCGCTCCTCCAGCTGCTGGTGCCAGCTCCGCCGCTGCTCGTGCTCGCCCGCGCTCTCCCCTCGCCTCGCCTCCAGGGGTGGCCCGAGCCCGGTGGACTGCCCCTCCCTTCCGCGACGGAGGGCGAGGGGCCAGTTCTGCGCCGCCGCGTCGGCGACCTGCGCCAGGGCGTGCGCGCCATCGAGGCGCGCCCCGCCTCCTCTTCGGCCTCCTCCGTCAGGGGCAACGATAGGGGGGCATACATCGACACGCAATCGCCCATTGATCGCCGATAGGGGCCCGACAGCCCCAACCTGCCCAGGAAGGTACGGATTCACTATCAGGGGCCTGTCGCCGATCTATCCGCGATGTATCGCCGATTCCAGGTCGATGCGACCCCCCCTACGCCCATCCCCCCCTATCGTTGCCCCTCACTCCGGGTCCTCGTCTGGGTCTCGGGGGGGGGGTCGCCGCCCGAACTTCGCGCCGCGCGCTTGGGGCCTCGAAGGGCGGGCCGTTTGTGCCCCGAGCCCTCGAGCCCGACGCCCGGTCCCCCAGGTTGGCGACATGCTTCCCAGGAGTGCACGTCCCTCCTCCCTCCTCCCTCCTCCCTCCTCCTCCCTCCCTCCTTCCTCCTCCCTCCTCCCTCCTCCCTCCCTCCCTCACTCCTCCCTCCTCCCGCCTCTGGCCACGAGATCTCTGTGCCCCCACGGCAACGTCGTGATGTGCGTCTCCCTGTCGGGCCAGAGCTCTACAGGGCAGAGCGTCCGGCCCGATTTGCAGCGGGTCCCCCTGCCACCGTGCAGTGAGCCAAGGGTCTCCCATACTCACAGGCTCTTTAAAACCACGCGCCACCCTGCGGACCTGCGTCGTGGCGAGACCATCTCAGGGCAAACGAGGCTACGGGCTCCTGATTTCGATGTGCAGTGGCTGCCACTCGACTGACTAAGTCTCGGTCGTCTTTTTCTGTCCGAGCTTCACTACCTATCATTCGCTCCTTGGTGCTTGTTGCGCTCCCTGCTGCGATCCTCTTAGCGTGCGTGCGGGGTGAGCGTTGTGCAAGCGCGTGGGCGGGGCCTAAGGTCTTGCCCCGTCTGATGCGGCCGTTAACGCGATACGCGACGGACTTTTTTCAGTTTGCGTGATCCTCTCTCAGGGGGGGGAAACAGCGCTCCCGGCGGCGAAAGATTTATTGGTCTTCCCTCCTCGGTATTGTGACCCCCAGCAGGCGATTCAGATATTACAGCCTGCGATGCTGGCGTAATGTCCAGAGGGAAGCGTGGCTCCAGCGATTAGGGGCGGCTTAAGCAGTTGTAGTTCTTGACCCCAGATGTTATTTTTCCGGTGGAAGACAGTTCTTGGACTCGCATTGCTCCTCCTCCTCCTCTTCCTCCTCCTCCTCCTCCTCCTCCTCCTCCCCCTCCTCCTCTCCCTCTGCCTCCTCCGCCTCCTCCGCCTCGTCTTCTCCGAAAGACTGGCTTCTACCGGACGGGCCTAGAATCTAGATGCATCCGTTCCAGAGCGTTGCGGATTACTCTGAAATGACCGCGGCGCCCGATGCATCATCCCAGCCCGTCGATTCTCAGAGATTTCCGATGTATGTCGGTCCGATTTTGTCTCAATTCTGCCTTCGTCTTGCATTGCTCCTCCTCCTCTCCTCCGAAAATCTGGCTTCTCCACCTCCGAGAGGTCGGCGGCAGGCTGGACGAGGCGGTGCGCGGGTGGGCGGAAACGCACGCCCGGCTGGTGCCGCTGCCGAAGGGCGCTTCCGGGCTGCTGCTCGACCTCGGCCAGCTCTTCGCATTGGGCCATCGGGGGTAAAGTGACAGTCCCGAGGTTCTGCGGGCAAGACTTGTGTCCATATCCGTCGCAGCTCGGTGTTTCGGGCATCCTTCCCTAGAAACCCGATGCGCACTGGACATGGATAGAGATCTGGCCCTTGGGGGCTCCATTTTTATCTAGATCCAGTGCGCCGCGGCCTTGTGGCGCCCCTTCACTTGCTCGCAGGTTCGGTAGCGCGCCCGCGGGGGAGGTCAGAGGGGGCGGGCTTTCTCAGAATGCTCGGAAGGCCTCGGGCCTTCTAGAAATGTTTTTGTCTCTTCTTCCCCAGAGACGCAGAAAACTTTCGAGAAGACGCGAGGGCTTCTGAAAAATCCCGCCGCCTTCTGAGAAGGCCTTCTCTCTGACTTCCCGTTTGGCCTCGCCGCCGAGAGATTCTGGGCTCGTGGTTGAATTTTTCGGACGTGTCTAATGGCTTTCGGCCCATCCCGCCACCGTGCTTGGGTTGTGGTCAGAGGCCTTAAGGATGTTGGTAGCGATCTCGTGGTTGGCCTCTCGGTAGCCCCTGGGTCAGCTCATTAGCGGAGCGCGCTCCGCAAATTGGAGCGACGCAATGGGAATTGTTGACGCTTCGCGAGTCCCCACCAGCCCATCCAGAAACGATGCCCAGAGGAATTGCCTCGATCAGGGAAGCGGGCAGCACACAGAGGAAGGGTCCCCCAGTGGAGGCTTCTTGGAGCGTCTTGGGGGCCTCTTGGCGGTCCCGGACGCCTCTTGGAGCGTCTTGGGTGCCTCGGAGAGCTTCTCGGGGCCTCTTGGGGGTCTCTTGGGAGCCTCTTGGAGGCCTCTTGGGCGCCTGTTGGGGCCTCCTGGGGCCTCCTCTGGACGCCTCTTGGGGCCCTCTTGAAGCGCTCTTGGGAGCCTTGGGAGCGCTCTTGGAGCCCTCTTGGGCCATCTTGGAGCCATCTTGAGGCCTCGGCGGGAAAGCCAAAAGCATGGATTTTCCCAATGTTTTGGAAGGATTTTGGCCTCTTCGGGGCCTCCTGGGGGAGCTCTTTGGCCGCTTGGAGCCGTCTTGGAGCGGTCTTGGGGCCGCTTGGAGTGGAGCATTGTGGGCGCCATGTTGAGCCATCTTGGGATATCTTGAGCCATCTTGGAGATCATCTTTGGCTCTCCCAGGCGCTCTTGGAGTCATCTGAAGCAGTGCCCCCCCCAGGCCATAACGTGGCCAAACTGTGGCCAAAACCTTAGTAATTGCTGGGTGCCTCTTGGGGCTTCCTGGCCACCTTTCGGGGCCCTCTTGGGGCACCCTTGGGAGCCTTGGGGGCCATCCTTTGACCATCTTGGGTGAGATCGATTACAGGAGGGTGGGTGTTCAATTAGCGTCCCCCCCCCAAGAGGCCAAAATGGGGCCCAAACCCTAGTAGAACCAATGATTTTGGATTCCTCGCCGAGGCCGTTTTGGACGCTCCGACGACTCGCGACCCTCCCCGGCCAGGTCCAGGGGAGGGGGTAGGGTGAGGAGTAAACCCCTCCCCGAAGGGGAAGAAGGAGGGGTGGAAGAGGAAACTCCCTAAACCACCTACGCCCAGAGGGCTGGTGGGATTCCGTTGTTTGGGGCCAATTAGCGAAGCGCCGCTCCGCTTATGGGAGCAAGGCAATCTATCCCTTGGTTTGAGGCGATTTGGCGGGGCGGCGCGCCGCTAATTCGAGCCAAGCAAGCTCCAGACGCGTGGTTTGAGGCCAATTTGCGGATCGGCGTCTTGCCAATGGGGCCAACCGAGCAATGGTTGGCGGCTGGATGCTGGGCCCCTGCGAGACTCCTCAGGACTGGGGACAGGCTTACGGGACTCGGCAAAGGACCTGAGGACACGCCCACTCCGTGCCCAGAGGCACGGGGAGGTGGTGGCTGGATGCTGGGCCCCTTGGAGACTCCTCAGGACTGGGGGCTGAGGCTTACGGGACTGGGCAAAGGACCTGAGGACACGCCCACTCCGTGCCCAGAGGCACGGGGAGGCGAATTCGTCGGTCCGCGGCGTTTCTCCGGCCTCGATGCTCTCCAGCGGCTGCGCGCAGCCGAGGGTGTTCCGGGGGGTGCCCAGAGAGCCCCCCGAACGGCCGCCGGAGACCCGACCTGTCACCCCAAAACCAAGAACGGGGAACATGCTTGCGTCGTGACAGGAATCACGACGGGAGGTTCTGGCGCATTCTCGGCCTCCGGGGGCCCTCGCCGGGCCCCGGGACCGTCGAACAACTGCTCGGGGCGAGAAGCTGGTCCCGGGGAAGGGGTCCAGACTTCCGGGGGGCCCACGTTGAGAAGCAGCTCGACCTCGGGGGCTCCGGGTATGAACACATGCGCTGTGCGCCTCCGTGTGCCCGCGTTTTTGAGCGCGGTCTCTCGTGCACGCGTGGTCGCGGAGGGCGTGCATGTACGGACGTGTGGGCCTGCTTGGTGAGGGGGCGATTGGCCCAAGCTGGGGGGGCAGCGACCCCCAGTCGCCCATTCTCATGATCGGGGCCGGGTGCCCCAGCCCGCCCCGGAGCGCGCGGCTTCCCCATCGGGGGCCCATCGCCGATGTATCGGCGATGCATCGCCGATTCCAAGCCCTTGATTCCCACCCCCTGAGTACGTTCCCCTTTTGACTCCCCTCAGGCCAGGAGGCGCCCCTGGAGCGCATCGCGGCGGTCGTCGACGCCATCCGCGAGGCGTGGAACCCAGCGGCGCTTGCCGCGCAGCCGAGCGCCGCGGCGGAGATCCCGGAGAGCCACCTGGGCGACGCGCCCTGGCTGCTCTTCGAGCGCGGCTTCTTCGCCGCGGCCGGGGGCCTGCTCTCGCGCAGGCGCGGGCACTACCACACCTCGGAGGGCCTGTCGGTCAACCGGAGGGCCGTGCGCCACCTCTACGACAACATGCGCGAGTGCGCGCGGCCGCACTTCAGCGGCGGGCTGACGCAGGAGCTGGGCTACGTCCACGTCGCGGGCCCGCCCCGCAGGGCCCTGCTGCTGTACGACGCCTCCGCGCACCCGGGCGTCGACTTCAAGGCGATGAGAGCGACGCTGGTGCAGACCGCAAGCCGCGCGTAAAAGGACGCAAGTCGGGGGCGCAAGACGTCGTGAGAGTGACGAGCTCCAAGGCTTCCAGGCCTCTCAGCTCCGGTGCCCCCACTCCAGGTACGAAGCTCGGACTTCTGGAATTCCTGCAACGTATCCCGGGCCATCCGTGTAATGACTGGAGGATGGGGGGCGAGACCGAAGTGAAGTGGAGGCCTCGGACCGGGAAGCTGGTTTCGTTTTCGGTTCGCGTCATGCGTGACGCGCGCGCGCAGGCGAGGCGCGGCAGCGCGAGTCCTCCCGTAGCTGGCCCCACTGTCACGCCACAAGGAGTTTCGGAGTTCGGGGCGTTTCCAGGGTTGTCCTGCGGTTGTCCTGCGGTTGTCCTGTGGTTGTCCCACGGTTGTCCCGTGGCGTGTAGGGTTGTCCCGCGGTTGTCCCATGGTTGCTCCGAGATTGTCCCGTGGTTGTCCCGCGGTTGTCCCGCGGTTGTCCCGTGGTTGTTCCACGGTTGTCCCGTGGTTGTCCCGCGGTGGTCCCGTGGTTGTCCCGTCGTTGTCCTGTGGTTGTCCCGTGGTTGTTTGTAGTTGTCCCGTGGTTGTCCAGTGCATGTCCCGTGCTTGTCCCATGGTTGTCCCGTCGGTGTCCCGCGGTTGTCCCGTTTGTAGATGGATAGTGAGAATGGTGATTCCGTCCAATAGGTTGCTCGTGGGATAAATAGGCGTGTAATCTACCCATGAGTAGTGAGACCGACATGTAGATTGATAATTCTATTGGTCGATACATTGGTATTGATAGGTCGTGGGATTGGTCGATTGATAGATAGTGGCAATCGGTGTATTGAATGAGAAGCCGATGGATAGTTAGATCGTTTTCGTGTGGTTGCCCCGTGGTTGTCCCGCGATTGTCCCGTTGTTCACCCGTGGTTGTCCCGTGGTTGTCCCCTGGTTGTCACGTAGTTGTCTCGTGGTTGTCCCAGGGTCGTCCCGTGGTTGGCTCATAGGTGTCCCGTGATTGTCTGTAGTCTTAGCGTAGTTGCCCCGTGATTGTTCTGTGTTTTTCCGGCGGTTGTCCCGTGGCAGTCCTGTAGATGTCCGACCCCTACAGGACAGCCCAACAGGGGACCGAGTCGCTCCCGAGTCGTCGAAAAATCGCTCACGCACGCCGCGGTCTCCTTTTGATGGCCTACCACGCTCCCGAGGCGCTCCAGGAGATCTTCTAGCCGGCGCAGACCGCCCCCCAGACACTCAAAGAGGGTTCCCAGACGGCCTTCAAGAAGGCCCCAAGACGCATTGGATTCCATGGATTTTCAATTTTTTACGGAGCTCCCGCCTTTTCAACTCAGCAGGTAAACAACAACCCACGAAGATTCAACGAAGCCTCAAGACCGATCCGATCCTCCAGACTGTATAAGACGGACCACGTCGTCGTCGTCGTCGTCGTCGTCGTGGCGTCGCCGTCGTCGTCGTCGTCGTCGTCGTCGTCGTCGTCGTCGTCGTCGTCGTCGTCCTTGTCCTTGTCCTCGTCCTCGTCGTCGTTGTCGTCGTCGTTGCCGTGGCGTCGCCGTCGTCGCCGTCGTCCTCGTCGTCGTCCTCGTTTTCTCGTCGTCGTCGTCGTCGTGGGCCGCGGAGGTTCCGCAACCCTCGCCAGGAGGGAAAGGGCTCCTGCAGGAAGGGGGCCCCAAGTTTCTTGACATTTCCGTCCACCCAGAGCCCGCCCGGAAGGTTGAGATCCGAAAGACCTCGAATTTTGACGTTCGAACTCCGTCCCCCCTTCCCCCTCGAGGCGTGCGACGGCTTCTGGTCGAGGGTGGTGGAAGGGGAGGAGATGGTGGGGAGGAGGAGGATCAGGAGCAGGTGGAGGAGCAAAGGGGGAGCAGGGAGAGGTGAAAGGGAGAACTACGGAGGGAGCAGAGAAGGAACGGGAGGAGGAGGAGCAGGATGAGGAGGTGGAGGAGGAGGAGGAGGAGGAGGAGAAGGAGGAGGAGAGGAGAGGAGGGAGGAATGAGGCGGATGACCACAGCAACGGCGAGGACCGAGAGGGACCAGGACAGGAGAGGGCCGAGGCGGACGGAGGCTCCGCAAAACCCACATGCGGGTTGATTCGCAGTGTCGTCCATGACGAGCGAAAACGAGAGCCATGGCCGAGCTGTGACTGGAAAGCGAGCGCGCGCGTACGTATATAGCGCGGTCGGGGGTTTAGTATGTATGTATGCATGTATGTATGTATGTATGCATGCATGCATGCATGCATGCATGTATACGTGTATGCATGTATGTATGTATGCAGGCAGGTAGGTAGGTAGGTAGATTGTTAGGTAGGTACGTTTTCATGCATGTATTCATGCATGTATGCATGTATGTAGCTATGTTTGCATGTGCGTATGTATACATACATACGCATATGTATGCATGTATGTATGCATGCATGTATGTAGGTACATGCCTATGCATGTATGCATGTATGCATGTATACCTGTATGCATGTCTACATGTATGTATACATGCATGTATGTATGTATGTATGTATGCATGCATGCATGCATGCATGCATGCATGCATGCATGTATGTATGTATGTATGTATGTATGTATGTATACATGCACGTACATTCGTACGTTTGTGTGTATGCATGTATGCATACACGTGTATGTATGTATGCATTTATGTATGAATGCATGCATATATGTATGCTCGTATGCATATATGCAGGTATATATGCATGTATGCATGTATGCATATATCTATGTGTGTATGTATGCATGAATATGTATGCACGCATGCATTCATGCATGCATGCATGTATGTGTAGATGTATACATGTATATACGCATGTCTGTGTGCATTTATGTTTACACGCGTGTATGTATATATGCATGCAGGTATGTATGTATGTATGTCGACAGGTATATTATGTATGTACGTACGTAGGACTGTATGCACGTATGCATGTATGCATGTGTGCATGCATGCATGCATGTATACATACAGCTACGTTGTATGTGTGAATGCATGCATGCACGTGTGTGCATGTATGTCTGTATATATGTACGTATGCATGTATGCATGTACCGATGTATTTAGGTATGTTCGTGCACATGTTTGCATTTATGTATGCATCTATCAATGCATTCATATAAGTATGCATGCATACATGCATGTACATAGGTAGGTATGTCTATAGGTATGTCTGTCTGTCTGTACGTACGTACGTACGTACGTACGTATATATGTATGTATGCATGTATGTATGTATGTATGTATGTATGTATGCGTGCACACATTCATGTATGTGGGTGTATGCATGTATGCATTCATTTGTGTATGTATGTGTACACGTACTTATGTACGTATGGATGTTCGTTTGTTTGTATGTATGTATGCATGTATGAAAGTATGTATACACATCTATAATCTACACAAACGTATGTACACATATGGTGAGACCGTTCGAACGAGAGATCGATACATGGAGATCGAGATCGTCACATCACTAGATCGCGAATCAGATCCAGCGCCACCCCCGCGCCGACGCTGTTCCCTCGCCACCGTCGATCCTCTCCTGCTCCCGCTTCTACCTACCCGCCGTTCCCCCCCAGCTCCCCCCACGGAGCTACTCGCCTCCCTGCTCTCCCCTCGGGGGGGGGGACGCTCACATTGCGGTAGGAGGCGGCAGGAGGGGAGGATGCCGTATCATGCGGGAGGAGGGGAGATTGGAACAGCTGCGCTCTACTCAGAACGAGGACCCAACCAAACGAGGGTTGGAACAGTTCACGACTGAAGGTTTTTTCCAGGTTTTCGGTGTGGGCGAGCGCGCCGGGGCCATCAATAAAAAGACTCGGGGCGAAAAGCAATTCCCAGGGAACGCGTCGATGTCCCTGGGGTCCAGGGCTCGTGTAGGGGATCGACAACAGAATTGATTTACCCCAGAATCGATTTGTTCGTCGAATCTGCGAGAAGTGCGTAGAAATGGCTGCCGAATCCACGAGCATTCGGCGTAACGATTCTGGGGTAAATCAATCCTGGCGATCCCTGCTTGGGCGGCACAAAGAGACGCCGTCTGGGCTCGGCCCCTCGTCGCCGTCGTGCCCCCCCTTTGCTTCTACTCTTAGGCGGCAAGCCCTGGGGGAAGTGAGGGGGGGTGGGGGGGCCTTCTCAGCAGGCTGGGACGCCCCCCGCCTTCTGAGAAAATTCCGAAGCCCTCCCCGGAGGCACAACAAAGTCTCAGAAGGCGCGAGGGCTTCTGAGAAGTCCCGCCGCCTCCTGAGAAGGCCTTCTCCTCCACACTTCCCCCCCTCGCTCGCCGCCGAGCTCCCGCTCAGGCCTCCCCCTCCTCCCTCGCCCTTCTGCCTCACCCCTCCCCGCCACGCTCTCGATCTGCCCTTCTTCTCCTCCAGCAACTCCCGAGAAACACTAGAGCGTCCTCGCCCTCTGCTCTCCCCTTCTCCCCCCTCCGCCCCTCCTCTTCCCCTTCTCCTCCTCCTCTCCCCATCCCTCTCCCCCTTCACTTTCTGCCTCCCTCATCCCCTCCCATCTCGTCATCTATTCTTCTCCTTCGTCTTATTATTCATCTTATTTTTATTGTTAATCTTTTTATTATCGTTATTCTTAATCTTAGTACTATTATTAGTGTTTCTCTTTTAATGCTTCTACTTTTCTTCTTCTTTTTCTTCTTCTTATTTTTTGTCCTCTGATCAGTTTTCTTCCTCTTATTCTTCTTCCGACTTTCCGTCCTCTGACAACGACGAACCGAGCGATCGACCGCGACCGATCAACCTGACCACTGACCCACGGCGCAACCGACGACCCACTGGCCGACGGCGGCGACGGCGGCGACGGCGACCGCCCGACGACCGACTCACCGACCGACCGAGGACGGCGACTACGACGACCGACCCACTGGCCGACCGACGTCGACGACGGAAACGGCGACCGACCGTCCGGCCGACCGACGCCGACGACCTGCCGTCTGACCGACCCTCCGGCGGCGGCGGCGGTCGGTCGGGGCGGACGGCGGCGTGGCGAGCCCCGCGCTCCGGAGAGCCCTGTTGATAGCGCCCGGTGGCCGCGGGCCCCCCGGCGGGGCGGCGGGGCCATGTCCGCGCTCTACGAGAACCTGAGGAGCCGCCCGCCGCCGCGAGTGTCCATAGGGGAACAAAAAGTGACATAAACATACAAACTCGGAGGTCCGCGCGGATTTCTCGGATCGGCGCTGGGGCCCCCTGGCGGCGCCTCCGGCGCCGCCCCTGGCGCGCTCCGCGCGCCAGGGAAGGGGGGTCCAGCGCCGAACCGAGAAATTCGCGCGGACCTCTGAGTTCTTATGTTTATGCCACTTTTTGTTCCCCTAGTCCAGGCCTGCCAAAGGAGTGGCGCGGCGAAGGAGGACAGCACAGCCCATCCCCACCCCCAGCCAGGACCCCCACTCCCGACCTGGTGATCCAGGAGGTCCTGGCTGGGAGCGAAGGGTGGCTTTCAGGCCCGCCCTGGATCACCAGGTCCGTAGTGGGGGCTTTCGGTGAGGGTGGGGGTGGGTTGTGCTGTCCTCACGATTCTGTGGGCATTCGCGCGCACGCTGTCTGCGTAAGATGGCATGTAGGCGCCCTCGTTTCCGAGGTGGCGTGCCGCGCTGGCGGCCCGCGAAAGCCACCGCGTGAGGTCGCTATGCCATCGCGCTTAGGACCTTTCTCTTCTCGTCGCGAAGGTGGGCCCAGAGTAGATGTTGGCGACTCGCACCAGACCTTTCGCAATGGGGGGGCGATAAATGGGGGATCGAGGGTTTCAGGAAAAGGGGCCCAACAGAGGCCCCCTTGCGGCCTCGAAAGTGCACGAAAGGTGCAGCTTTCTTCATTCTCGTTTATTTTCAGGAGACGCATAGACATAGAATCGTCGATCCCCAGGAAAAGATGGAAAATATTGGAAGTGGAGGGCAGGACGAACATCCAGAAAGTATGGAAAACATTGGTAGTCCTGGGAGTCGTGTCTACTTATTTGTGTGGCCCTGGGCCCCTTTATACTTGCCCCCCCACCCCCCCGTTGGGCAACGCCCGAGCTCCACAAGGGAGTGCCGACGCGACGGGTGTGGCCTCCTCGGAGGGCGGGGGGCGTTCTGGAGGGCGGCGGCATTCGTAAGAGGGGCCCGGGGGCTTCTCAGGAGGTTTCTCAGAGGCCGGGAGGGCTTCGGACCTTCGAGCAGGGGGCATCGGCTGCATACTCGATTTGCACCGCAATCGGTTTCCTCACCGAGTCCACGGACGAATCGTAAAATTGTGTTTGTAAATCGACGGGTATGGTGCGCATTCTTCGTGGATGCGGCCAGAGAAGCCACGTTGGGGCGCGTGCCCTGCTCGAAGCCCTGCCACCCCGCCTTCTTGGGGAGGGCAGCTCCCCTCGCGAACCCGTGCACCCCTGCTGTGCGCGCAGCCCGAGGTGGCCTTGGGGGGCTCGCGCCGCGTCGCCGAGGCACTGCCGACGTAGCGCAGGAGGAGGGAGGAGGAGGCCTGTTCGTCACAAGAGGATTCCGTACCCACACCGATATCCTTGCCTCGTTTTCCTTTTGATGGGCCTCCTGGGAGGCCTTCGTTGCCGCAGCGGGATTCGCCTGGAGATTCTGGTCTGGATGAACCCTGGGAGAGGTCTGGGGAGTAGCGACATCGATTTTGAGCCTGCTTTTCTCCAACTCTCGGCTTTGAGCGAGGGGGGAAAAGAGAAGAAGGCCCCCTCAGAAGGCGGCGGGGCTTCTCAGAGGGCCTCTGGCCTTCTGAGAAGATTTCTGTGTTTTTGAGAAGGTCCGCCCCGTCTCATTTCCCCCTGGGCTCGCCGCCGATGTTATTCTCCAACTCGCCGTTGCCGATGCATCGGAGATGCGCCGCGATCCTCCGACCCCATCTGCTGCGACCCCATTGGGACGCCCAGGGGAGGGACCTGGACCTTCTCGCGTCGTGACGGAATCGCGGTGGACGGCTTTTGGGCTGTTATTGGCCCCAGGGGGTTCTCTCAATTACTTCTTGGGCCCCGGGGCAGAGAGATACCAATTCAGGAGGATGATATCCATGTTGCGAACAATTTACGTCTTCGGATGTCTGGGAGTATGGTGGCGGAAGGAGGAGGAGGAGGAGGAGGAGGAGGAGGAGGAGGAGGAGGAGGAGGAGGAGGAGGAGGGGAGGGCAGAAGGAGGAGGAGGAGGAGGAGGAGGAGGAGGAGGAGGAGGAGGAGGAGGAGGAGGTATAGGAGGAGGAGGAGAGGAGAGGAGGGAGGGGGGAGGGAGGGAGGGAAGGAGGAAGGGATTGAGGGAGGGGGGAGGGAGGGAGGAGGAGGAGGAGGAAGGAAGGAGGAAGGAGGAGGAAGGGAAGGAGGAATGAGGAGGAAGGAGGAAGGGAAGGAGGAGGAGGCGGAGGTGGAGGAAGAGGTGGAGGTGGAGGAGGAGGAGGAGGAGGAGGAGGAGGAGGAGGAGGGAGGAGGAGGAGGAGGAGGAGGAGGAGGAGGAGGAGGAGGAGGGAGGGGGATGAGGGAGGAGGGAGGAGGCAGGAAGGAGGATGGATGGAGGGAGGAAGGAGGAGGGATGAGCCCAAAATATTTACGGGGTCTCGGACGCCTTCCCTCGTCTGAAGGGGAGCGTCCTCGGCGGCTGCAACTGTTGGCAGCATGCGCTTGTAAGAAATAAAAGGGTGGATGGACAGCCACATGTCCCACAAACCTTTTCACCTCTAGCAAACGGGGATCGGCGGATATACTCGGCGTCCATGGTCCCCCCCAGGCCTCATCATTGTTAAAACATGCTCGGGGTGCCAATTTTGCCCCTGGCGTGCGCGTCGGGTTTTACAGTACCTCGTTCCGACAATATCAAAACATCGAAATTCTGGGCTTGTGCTTATCTTGCGTTCATTCGCCTTACCCAGATCACACGCAACGTTTTCTTCCTCAACGTTGGCCTCTCGACGTCTGGACCCTTTCCCAAGAGTCGTTTTCCCATCCCACGTGCGTTTTTGACGATCTCAGGGCCGGTAGGGGTCCGAGAGGCGGGGAAATGCCGAAAATGTTCCGTCGTGCTTTTTCCCACGACGCGAGGATGTTTGGGTGGTCATTTTGGTTTCGTCGTTCTTCTGAACGGACCGCCCGCCCCCCCGGCGAAAAACAGCCCGGTCCCCGACCCCCGCGCGCGCCAGGCAACTGATCACCGTGGTGGACGAGCTCCGAGACGTGGGCCTCCAGCACTACATCAGCCTGCCCCGGATCGCGGCGATAGGACCGCCGACCCCCCCCCACGGGCTCTTGGTTCGTTTTTTTTTTTTTTGTTCTTTCTTTTTTTTCCCCCCCCCCCCCCCCAATGTTTGCGGGGTCACAGTATTTTCGTTCGTTTTTTTGTTGGTTGGGTTGTTTTCTCTTTTGGAGCATTTTTTTGATGTTCTCGGGGCCCAGGGTGGTTCCCACCAGCTGCGCCTCGCCGCGGGCGTTCCCGGGCTGCCAGGACCGTCCCCGCCGGTCGCCCCGGGGAGGCTCTCGCCCTGAGGCGGTCGGAGGAGGGCGAGCCGAGACGACAGTGGCCTTCCCCGGGTCACCCAGGGGCTTCGCCTCCAAACGCGGGCAGGCGTGAACCCCGGGGAGCGGGGGGAGGAGGAGGGAGGAGGAGGAGGAGGAGGAGGAGGAGGAGGAGGAGGAGGGAGGAGGAGGAGGAGGAGGAGGGGGGAGGAGGAGGAGGAGGAGGAGGAGGAGGAGGAGGAGGAGGAGGAGGAGGAGGAGGAGGAGGAGGGAGGAGGAGGAGGAGGAGGAGGGGAGCGGGTCTGGGGACAGATTTGGACCGGAACTTTGCGACGGGCGAGAGAGCGGCCGTCATTTCATCGTTTCGCTCACTCCGCCGGCCCATGTTCGCGCAACAGGAGGCGGTGCACAGGAAGCTCCTGGGAGTTCTCCGAGGCTTTCGGGGGCGTCTTAACCTGGAGCCTTTTTGGGGCCCTTGGGGGCCTCTTGGCGGCCTCCTGACCGCCTGTTGGGGGCCTCTTGGGGCCTCCTAGGGGCCTCTGGGGACCACCTGGGGGCCGTTTATGGCCGAGGGCTCGACATGTTTTTTCGTGCTTCCCCTCTAGGGCCTCTTGGGGCGTTCTTGGGGCCGTCTTGGAGTCGTCTTGGGCGGTCCTGGAGCCCTCTGGGGCCGTCTTGGGGCTCTCTTGGGGCCCTCTTGGACCCCCTTGGGGCGATCTTGGGGACCTCTTGGGCCGTCTTGAGGCGTCGGGAAGCCGAAAAGGGGGAAACGCCCAAATCTGTCCCAAACCCAAGGAAAATCAATGAATTTTACCTCTTGGGGCCCTCTTGGGAGTGCTTTTGGAAGCCTCTTGGGGCGTCTGGGGGCAATCTTGGGCATCTTGGAGCGATCTTGTGGCATCTCGGAGCCCTCTTGTTCTATCTTGGGGGCCTCTTGTTGGCCTCTTGGCCCTTCTTGGGGCTGTCTGGAGGGCCTCGAGGGCGGCGCCCACCCGACCCGACCCTGCTGGGGATCTCTGACCCGAACCTGCCAGGGACCGCCCGGGGTATTTTGCGTCCAGGGACCCCCAGGGGCCGCTCCGCGCGCGCGAAGTAGAAATACTGCACGCCTTTGGCCCGTTGGGTGAGAGAGCGGCCGTTATTTCAAGTGGCCCTCCTCCGATAGGCATATCGTAGTTATTTTCGATTCCTATCATCGTTTGTGGTCTTCCTAACGAATCTTGGAAAGAAGCCGGACGTCGCGTGCATGGCCACCTCGACGCAGATTTTGGGGCCTCCTTGGGCCCCGCTTCGGGTCCTCTTGGGCACTTCGGGGCGCGTCTTGGGCCATTCTAGGGCCGTGTGGAGCCATGGTTGGGCCCTGTTTGGGCGATCTTGGAAGCCCCTTGGGCCGTTCTGGACGCTGTGGCCGTTTGGGGGTCCTCTTGTGGCCGCTGTAGGGCCGCTTTGGCGCCTGGGGGGCCGAGGGGCCCCCCAGCCCGCCAGGCACCTTTCGGATCTACTTGCATGGATACAGCGAGAGGGATGAAAAGCAGGAGGAGGAGGAGGAGGAGGAGGAGGAGGAGGAGGAGGAGGAGGAGGAGGGGGAGGGGGAGGAGGAGGCGGAGGGGGAGGGGAAAGGGGGGAGGAGGTGAATGATATGACACAGTCGATGGATGCCCACACAGCGTGCCGACTCACACAGCGTGGCAACGAACGCGCTTCGGAGGACGGAGGAGGAAGCAGGCGCAGACATTGAAGTTCTTTGAATTGTTCTGAATTGTCCGGTGCCTGCGACGAGGTGGCCGACGTGGGCGCAAGCTTTGTGGTGCAAATTGTGCTGCCACGAGGCGGCCACGGGCGGCCACAGGGCGGCAACCCGGACATGCCAGCCAGCGCGCGGGGCGGCCACGGGTGGCCATTGGGGCACACCGGCCAGAGCGCGGGGCGGCCACGACGCTTCGGCGGGCCGCCGTTGGGCGAAACGCCAGAAGCGCCAGGCAGCGCACGGGGTGGCCACGAGGCGCTCACAGGCGGCCGTCGGTCGAAATTCTGGAAGCGCAGGCCCATGGCTTAACGACCAAGGGGGAATCTTTCAGTGCAAGCGCTACGGCTGCATCCGCCTTATCGGAACGTACCAAAGAGTAGGGAAGGAGTAGGGATACTGGAAGAGAGATGAAAGGAGGTTTGAGAGAGGAGTTGGTGCGGAGGGGAGCATTAGGGATGATGGAGAGTGGAGAAGTAGGCATGGGGAGCAATGGCAACTTACCACATAAAGGTTAACAGCCCACTAGAGTCATGTTGAATCCCCTGCACCCCCCCCAAACAAGCTTCCTACAACTTCCCACTCCCCTAAACCCTCTCACGAAGCGAGAGGGTGAAGCAGGTTCACTCCAGAGTCGACCTGCTCCAGGACTCTTATTGACAAGGGGTTACATCCAAAGTTGCCCCCCCCCCCAGGGCCCTGTCGAAAATGGGACATCCAGAGTTTCCCCTCCTCACTCCCCCCTGGACCACTTCCCTCGGAGTGGCTTCTGCTCACGGGCCGTTCGCCGCAGGGCCCAGCACTGAGAAAGACGCGGCGGTGTTTTTTACGATCAATGCGTTGGAGGCCTGGGCCTTTTCCCTTGCAGATCTTTGCCCAGACCTGCTCACGGGTGCGTTGCGACCAGACTTTCGCGGCGGATGCAGCCGTGGCGACGAGGAGGCCCAGAAACCTTCCAAGAGGGGGCGTCTTGGAGGCCGTTCTGGCCGTCTTGGGACTATCAGGGGCCATCTTTGCCGTCTTGGAGGGCATCTTAGACCGTCTTGAAGGCCCCACACGGCCATCCCACCCGTCTCGGATGCCATCTTGGACCATCTTGCAGGCCATCCTAGAGAATCTCGCGCCTCGAACCTCGAGCCTCCCTTCCTCCTGCCGCTCCGCCTCGCCGCAGCTGCCCCCCCCCCGAAGCACGGCTTGAGGAACCCAGAGCAGCGGCAAGAGCTCTCTGATCGAGTCGGTCGTCGGGCTGGACTTCCTGCCGCGCGGTGGATGCCTTGGGGAGGAGGTTTGCTCCGTCCGCGCAGATTTCTTGGGTCTGCGCTGTGCCCACCCACCTCCCCACACCCTTCTCCTCTTGTTTTTTTGGACCTCAAGCGCGTAACGGTCGTTACCTGGGCCAAATCCCCCCCCCCCTCCCCCAACGTCTGGGTAATCGTATCGATCGTACGAGGGGGAGGGGGCCTGGACCCCCCCCCACCTGCTGGTGGTGCCCGCGCGCGCACTACGGCGATTGCAGCGCACCCCCGCTCCGACGTGCCCCACCCCGCCCAAGCGTCACCGTTACCCGAGGCTCCAACGGCCCAGGTGAGGACCGCTACCCGAAGTCATAAAAAACAGTCATCAGAAGCCGGGCGAAGGGTGGCAAACCCGCGGCTGCTAGAACGGAGCTCCGGGAAATTGTCTAGTCCTTTCGGGAAGCAGCCTGGTTACTGCTTGGTGTGCGGAGCTTTGTTCCGGGGATCTGGTCGTTTCTTCCGGGAAACATGCTCTAGCAGCCACGGGTTTGCCAGCCTTCGCCCCGCTTCCGAATTCTCTCGCTGTCGGCGCGGCTCGGTTCTCGGGCTGTGCCCTGGTGGGCGCGCCTCTGGTTCCGTCCCCCCGCCCCGGCAGGCACGCGCCGACGGGAGGGAGGCGCGGGCTCAGGAGTCCAGATCTCCCAGGGATGGAGTGCGAGCAGTCCCTTCCTCCCTCCCCTCCCTCCTCCCTCCTCCCTCCCGTGTCATCGGCGTCGTCGTCGCGCTCGTCGTCGCCCTTCATCCTCCCACTTCGCCAGCGACGTGCGATGTACGGTGCTCTAGGCCTCCCAGATGGGGTTCGAGTAGATGGGGTCAGAGAATCGCGCCGCGTCGCCGACGCATCGGCGATGCTGCTCGGTGGGGAGCCCGACGTTCTCCACGCCGGCCTCGCTGATGCATCGACGACGCGGGACGATCGTCCGACCCCATCCATTCCGACCCCATCTGGGAAGGCTTCTGCCAGGGGGGAGCGTACACACCCAGTCGCCCATTCTTCGCCCGGCGTGGCCAGAAGTGCTGTGTTTCCCAATCGTGGGCTCGAGGAGGAGGAGGAGGAGGAGGAGGAGGAGGAGGAGGAGGAGGAGGAAGACAAATCGTAAATTAATACTAAGAACACGACGAACAATAATACCACTAATAATACTAATACTAATAATATCAATAATACTAATGCTAATCAGACCAGAGTAATAATCATATGAAAACTAATCGTATTACTACTAATGATAGCAGCAATGCTATTTGCAAGGATAATACTATCACTCTCAATAACACATGTGATCAATAATACTGAGAATCATAAGCAGAGCAATAATATCAATACTACTGATAGGAATAATCAGTCATTATAACCATGGTAATAAAGAAACATAATGACAATCATCAGTCGAATAATGCGAATAATAAGAATGAGGAGAAGAAGAAACAGAGGAGGAGGAGGAGGAGGAGGAGGAGGAAGAGGATGGGGAGGACAGGGAGGAGGAGACGGTGAAGGGAGGGCCAAAGAGGCTATGAGCGAGACGCATGTTAGCGAGGTAACAAAACGGCGGGGCGCGACTTCGCCGTCACTTGCGCGTGAGCTCGTGTGCGTCAGCGTTTGCGCGCCGCGTGCCGCTCTGGCGGCCCGCGTCGGCTGCCGCGAAGCTTTGCCGCGCCGTCGTGTCCACAGCCGGCACGGGGCTTCAGAGCAGGGCTGGACCTAAATGCTGTTTTGCTGGACTTCGGTTGTGTTTTGTTTTTCGTTTTGGCAGGGAGGTACGGGAAAACAGGTAGAGCAAAACGAAACAACAAAACGAAACCAACACGAAACACAACGTTTAGGTCCAGCCCTGCTTCAGAGCAGCCGTGGCCTTCGGAGGGTTGCACGGCGGCACCCGCAGCGAGGAGGTCTGCGGTGTCCCCCGAGCTGGGAGCGGCAAATGTCTCGAGCGGGAAGGGGGGCCACATCGCCAGGTGGTGGTGGTGGTGGTGGTGGCGGTGGTGTCGTTTCTTCTGAACAGTGCTTGCACTTTTTCGCACGTATTCCTGGTTTTCTGCTGGCGCCCGCCCGATGGCGCTTCCCGTGGGCGCCTCGTGGGCGCCCCGCCTTCGGGGGGTCTGACGAGGTTTCGCGTGGTGCCCGCCCGTGGTCGCCTCGAGGATGCCCCGCGCTCGTGTGTGTGTGTGTGTGTGTGTGTGTGTGTGTGTGCCGAGGTTTCGCCTGGCGCCCGCCCGTGGGCGCCTCGTGGGCGCCTCGTGGGCGCCCCGCGCAGAGGGGGTATGCCAAGGCTTCGCCCGGTGCTGGCCCGTGGGCGCCTCGAGGGCGCCCCTTCGCTGGGGGGGGGGGGGGGTGCGCCGAGGTCCGCCCGGTGCCCGCCCGTGGGCGCGCCCCGCGCTGGGGGGTGTGCCCAGTCTTTGCCCGGTGCCCGCCGGTGGGCCCTCGGTGGGCGCCCCGACAGTGTGCACCGCGTGGGTTGCACCGCGCAGGCGGCACAGTGTAGCGCGCACCGCATGGCTTGCACCACACGGCTTGCGCCGAAGAGCTTGCACCACTAGGGGAACAAAAAATGACATAAACATAAAAACTAGGAGGTCCGCGCGGACCTCCGAGTTTTCATGTTTATGTCACTTTTTGTTCCCCTAACCACGTATGCTGCATCAAGGGCATTGTGCAGCATAGCCTCCACCACACATTTTACACCACATAGCTTGGCCCACATGGCTTGCACCACATAGCGTGCACCACATAGCTTGTACCCAGCTTGCACCACGCATGTTGCAATCTTTACATTGCCCCACGTAGGCTAGACCACAGAACTTGCACCAAACAGCTTGCACCACATAGCTCACGCACCACATGGTTGCATCACACAGGTTGCACGTCCGCAGTTGGGCCCGCGCCGATTAACATCCTTGGTCCTGCTTGGAGGGGCGCCGTTCACTCATCCGTGTCGGAGCTCTCCGCTCTGGAGTGTTCCCTGTGCTGGGTGCGTATCTCCTCGGGGCCTGATCCCCCTTGGCGCAGGGGCTCGCGCTCCCGACCCGCGCACTCGTGGCCAAGTGTCGACGTTAGGGCATTTGTTTTTTCCTCTCCTGGGGAACGCAGGCAACGGCACGGAAGGCCTTACCGATCGCACGAAACAGTGCGCCAGGGGGCGCCGTCAGGCAGGGTGGTCCAGCGCTGACCTGAGGCAGATCGTGTGGACCTCCGGCAGTTTGTGTTCGTGCTCTGTGCCGTGTGCTGTTCTTCGCAGCCGGGCCCGTACGGGGATGCTTTCTAGCGGTCAGGTGTTCGTGGGCAAGCCAGCCGTTGCGACATCATGCCCTCGGAAGGCACGAGCAGGGCGAGGCACGTCCTAACACATCGATCCCCGATGTTCTTCGAACGTGGATCCTCGACACTCGATCAAGCTTCCGTCGCTCAGGTGGGGGCGTGGTCACCCGAAGACCGCTGGAGCTGCGGCTGGTGCACCTGAACGGCCAGGAGTACCAGGGCGACCAGGCCCCCTTTCCGCCCCGCGTTGGCCCCCCTGTTTGGAGAGGAGGAGAAGTTGAAGAGGGGGAGGAGGAGGAGGAGGAGGAGGAGGAGGAGGAGGAGGAGGAGGAGGAGGAGGTGGAGTATGAAGAGGAAGATGAGAAAGAGGAGGAGGAGGAGGAGGACCAGTGTAAGCCCCAGATGCACCAACGATGTTGCAATAAACCCTCCCCTCAAGTTCCCTCGTCATATGGCTCTACAGGAGTTTGTTCTCATTGCGGGAAGCGGCCCCACTTCTGAGAGTCCTCACTGGAAGACAACCTTCTGAGAGTCCTCACTGGAAGACAACCTTCTGAGAGTCCTCACTTGTGCCAAATACCATTCCTGGGGTTCTCATCGTGCCAGACCACCTTTCCTGGGACTTCAGCCACAGGAACTCTTGAAACGGTCGCGCGGTGCGAAGGCGAGAGCCACATTTGCAAAAGCTGTTGCAGACTTTTCAGCCGAATGTGCGGGCGTTAAGGCGAGAGTCACATTTTGAAAATGACCTGTCCTCTATCCGTGAAGCTGCTGCACACTTTGAATACGAATGTGCGCGGCGCTAAGGCGAGCGACACATTTTTATAACCACCCGCCCTTCATTCGTGAAGCTGTTGCAAATTTCAAGCTTCAGAATCATGAGTGGTGAGGAAATTTGAGGCGAAACGCCCAGTCCGCCCTACCGACGCGTCTGGTGCGGCGACGGGGAAGCGTTCGTTATCAAGAAAAGGACAGAGGAGGATCAGGAGGAAGAGGACCAGAGAAAACCCAAGGTGTATCAACGGTGTTGAAATACACCCTTCCACTCCACGTCCCCTCACCAGTCCCCACACGGATTCATTTTCACTGCGGGGAGCTTCCTCTTGAAAGGCGAGCGCGCCCCAGGCCCGCAAGTCAGGCGGGAGCCGTGTTTTGAAGGATACGCTTTCCATCCTTCGACTCAAAGGAACTGCGACAATGTGCGGTTTTAATGTTCAAGGACTCAGGGGTCTCATTTTGAGGAAGTCTCGCGCGAGAGCCTCATTTCGAAAACGTGCCGGCCTCCATCCGTGTAACTCTTGAATGTTTTCATGACAAACGTGCGTGGCGCGAAGACGAGAGCCACACTTTGAAAGCGATGGGCCTTCCATCCGCGTAGAGCCAGAGCCACACTGAACTCGACCGGCTCTCCATCCGTGCAGATGTGGCAATGTTTCAAACCAAATGTGCAAGCGCTGAGGCGAACGCCACACTTTTTGAAAACCAAGAGCCCTCCATGCGTGATTCGTGTAATTGTTTGACGTTTTAAGCTTCGGGGTGCTAGAGTCCAAGGGCGTCTCAAGCGAAACGCCCCGCCCGGCCTAAGGACACGTCTGGCGTTGATAAGGAGGGACGGAGGAGGCAGGAGCAGGAGGAGTAGGCAGGGGTAGGAGGAGGATACAGGAGCATGATAGGAGGATGAGGAGGATGAGGATGAGGATGAGGATGAAGATGAGGATGAGGATGAGGATGAGGATGATGATGCTGCTGATGATGATGACGATGATGATGATGATGATGATGATGATGATGATGATGATGATGATGATGATGAAGATGATGATGAGGGTGAGGATGAGGATGAGGATTAGGAGGAAGAGGAGAAGGAGGAGGATGAGGAGGAAGAGAAAGAGGTAGCAGGAGAGAGGCTGTGAAGACCATGGAGACTAACTCAAGGTCCCGAAGGCCTTTCTCTCCACAACGGGCGCTTGACCGAGCAAACAGGTTCCCTGGAGCCAATACTCGGAAAGCTGAGACTCAGCCTGTTGAGTACCCTTGAAATCTGACGTAAAGCTGACAACAGATGACGGGTCGGCAAAACCGTGAAGCCGAGCGACCTCAAAATCTATAAGAGGCGTTGGGATCTGCAGACCGTATCCCGACCCAGTCCCCGCACCCACCTCCCGACGAATCGGCATGCTGTCCCAGCCAGTTCTGGAGACCGCCGACGCCTGCCAGCGACGGGAGGCGGAACTCTCAGCTCCTGGGACGGCGCCAGGAATGCCTCCAGGCGCGAGTGCCGACGACCAGGGCACTGTCCTGTCCCGAGGCGGGCTCGCTGCGCGCGAAGACTGGGGGCAGCTCTCCCCTGGCAGAGCGCGTCGAGACCGTGACCTTTGGGAGAAGTGGCTGCCGACAGATGCTTGCTCTGCTTTGCGTGCAGAACAGAACCGAAGAGCCAGCAGGAACACCATGACCTAGCAAACTCGATCGTGCTGTGAGAGTCTCCTGCTCTGGAGGAGGGGCCGGCGCAGCAGCAGCAGCGGAGGAGGGGGAAAAGGTGGCCGTCAGCTTACGGCTCAACTCCTTCCTGCTCGCGCTCAGCCAGCAACATTCTGCCGACCGAACTGGCACTGAGATCCACGACAAGATCCGAGGTCCCAGCCACCCCTTCAGAGTCAGAAAGCTCGCACCCCGAAGTACTGCTGGGCCCTCGCATGCCATCGTGAGGCGGCCAACGCGAGGGTTTCGACTCATTAGATGAACAGGGCCTGTTGGGGGGGGGGGACGGCCCAAATCTGGGCTCCTATCTTGGCCCATGTGTCGGCGAGCCTGTTGCCCTTCGGGCACCAAGCCTCGTGGTCATCGGCAGCGGACTCGAGGCTGACAGGGGCTCGAACTTTCTGCACCCGAGCCTCCCGCCCGATCCCCGCCCACCACTGCTCGCAGAAGTGGCGCCAAGGGTTGCTTAAATCAAGCCTTAAGTCGGGCCCGTCCCTCTACAGAAGGAACATTCAAACATAGTCAAAACATAGTTTTAGTATTTTTGAGCATGTTTTGGGCATTCTTTGGCTACGTCTAAGTTTTCGTCCAAGATCACCCTGTAGGGGAACACGCCCGACTTAAGGCAAGCCCCACCCCCACGTTGGTGGCACAACCTGTGGATCCCTTTGCAGCCGCTGTATGCCACAAGAGCGGGTTGTCGGGATCACCCTCGGCGACCTCCGAGGGGACATGAGAAAACGCGTCATTTTCGCCGCACTTTGCCAACGCCGATGATCAGGCGATCGCAAACATGGATCAAGGGGGCGTGGATTAGCGACGAGTCCCGTTTCCATGGGAAATCGCCGATTTCCGCCGCCGAGCGAGGCGGCGCCGGCCGCATTTTGGGTAGGGCACCTCCCCCGATCCATGGATTTGGCGACCGCGCGCCAAATCCATGGATCGCTGATCCATGTTTGCGCGACCCCGAGATGATATTCCCCGCTCTGTAAGCCTGAACGATGGATCAGCCACATCGGGAGAGACCAGCGAGCTCTGTATGGTGGGCACTGCCGTCGACAAACGCCGAGTCCGAAAATCTCCAGCCCACAGGAACCCCAGCCCAACGCCTGAGGTGTTCAGGGGTGGCTTTCAGCTTAGTGAAGCACCGGGTGGGGGAGGGGAAGAGGCAGCGACAAAAGAGCTCGCCATGCACCTCGCTTTTTCCCTGACCCTCTTGGCCGCCTCCTGGAGGGACCAGGGGCATTCTTCTCTACGAATTTGAAGAAGACGCAGCAGGAGAGAGGAGAAGGAGGTGTTGGAGGAGGAGGAGGAGGACGACGACGACGAGGGCGACGAGGACGAGGAGAGACGGGACACGAGGCAGGAGGCAGGCGGAGGAGGAATGAGGGAGGAGGCAGGGGCATGCGGGAGGGCGGGAGGGAGAGAGCAGGGGAAGGGGGAATTTTCTGCTTGAAGTGCGTGCAGCACGGGGGCCCCTCAGGGCCGCTCCGCCCCGTTGTGAGTGCCGACCTCCCCGGAGGGCCTGCGCGCGAGCCCCTGAGCTCCGACGTCGTGAGAACAGGAAGCATCGTGGCACATCCTGCTGGGAGCCCTGGACCCAGCCTCTCCGCGGCACCTCTCGAGCCAGATCGGCCTGTGAGGGGCCCCCGGCCCGACTGCGCAGGCGAGAGCGCCCGGCGCCCGAAGTGTCCAGCGCCGAGTGCTGCCAGAGACAGAGATGGCCCTGGCCCCCAGGCCGGCCCCAGCTCCTCCCAGGGCGGCCTGGGCGGCCTCCAGGGCACACCCCACGAGGCCCCAGAGGACCGCAGGGGTTCCAAAGGGGGGCGAAGGGCCGGGGACGCGCCCTGGGCCACGAGCACCTCCGTGAGCACCCAGCGAAGGGCCGGGTCTCTGTCCGATGCGCTTCGACCCGGCATCGCGAGGAGTCGGTGGCAGGAGCGGGAGGGGGAGGGGGGAGGCGGAGGCGGGCGGGATGTGCAGCCAGGAATGCCAGGCCCTCCTCGGGCTGACAACTGCATGGAGGTTGCGGGCTCGCACGCGAGTCTCGCTGACTGCTTCCGCCCAGAGGGCGGTGCAGCACGCGAGCGCGAGCTGGTTGCCAGAAGTGGGAGAGGATGCTGAAGGCCCGGAAGGCAGTCGAGTGCTCTCCACTTCTCCTCTGCGCGCGCACCGTCTGGTGCAAGGCTCTACCTGCCTCGACCTCGCCTGGCTGCGACCAGCGGCGCCCGACGACCTCCCCTCCCCTCCCCTCCCGTACAGATGATGGACCAGTCGACGCTTTCGGTAGTAGACCCTGAGAGCTTCGTATGTTCTCGAAGTTCAGTCTTTCGAGTGCATTCGCGTGCGCTGGCCTGTGAGAATCGATGGAGCCAGCGCCGATTTAGCGTCGACGTTCGTCGATTTAGCGTCGGTCAGCGTCGGTTAGCGCCGATTCGCAAGAGCCAGCAAGATGGCGTGGGAGGCTCCCATGAGTTTCCAAATAATGTCAAGCGAGGCGTCGGAGATCGACATGCCAGTTATGTCCAAGTCTTCCTCGTACGTCGGGCGATGCTCTACCGCAAAGCATGCCGCTGTCGCCACGACAGAACAGAGCAGCTTCAACCTCTCTGTGATGGAGGGCAAGCTGTCGCAGATGATGCGGCGAATCGCACAGAATGCTTCGGCTACGCCTTGCATCTGGCAGTTCAGATCCTGGGTGCGGGGATTCCGCGGGGCCCTGTGGACAACATGCGGCCCAGCCATTGAAGGGGATCTGGTGGGGCCAGGACCAGGATGAACAAACCCAAAGCGTTCCAGGACGCTCTCTGAGCGTCTCGGGGCGCTTTGGAACGGCCGCGGTGCCCGATACAACCTCCGGAACCGCCAGATCTCAGATACCTCCGATTGATTTTGGTCCCATTTTGCCCGGGTCCTGGCTTCGTCTTCGGGCAGGTTTTTTGGGGGTCATGTTTATCGCCAACTACCTTACGTGTGCACCGTGGCAAGGGCTGTTGCTGTAGTAGTCAGTGTCTTGCTCATCGGCCCAGCGTTCAACAGCTCCGACACTAGCGTGTCAAGTACTCTGCCCTCCTTCCTCAATAGGTAAGCTTAGCGGGTCGTCTGCGAAGCATGTCCCCACCACTTCCAATACCCATCCCCAGATGTCGAACGTTCTGATTCCAGCGAGACGTTGCCAATTCCATGCAGGACTCAGCACGACGGAGTGCTTGTCACAATGGGTCCCATGCCATGCGGTCAAAAGCTTCAGAAGACAAGTCCAAATTCATGGTTCAAACTCATGTTCCAAACTGGTACTACCACTGGCCACCAGATGCCCCAGACGGTCAAGGCACATCTGAAGCCGAATCCTCAAACCTCGACCCTCACTCCTCCTCGCTCCTCCCTCTCCCGCCTCGTCCTCTCCCTTCTTTGTCCATCTCGATACGCTCGATCCGATTCGATGTACATTCTGGCCCGCTCGATCCGTTTCGATACGCCGGCGACCCGATGCGGCACGATGCTTGCACAGCGTGGTTGAGCACCTCGGCGCATCCGATCCGATTTGGTTTCGGCTCCGATCCAGTGCAGCCCGATCCGACGCACCTGCCGATCCGACCCGGTTTCCCGATTCGATGCGGTCTGAAACCTTGCCCCCGTTTTTCTCTCTCCGCCCTCGTCGAGCCTCCTGGAGACTGGGGCAGGTGGGTCGCCCTTGCGTGAGAGGGGGCGGGCGTTTTCAGAATGGCCAGAATCGATGATCCTCAGGACGTGTGTTAGCCCAATGTGTGTTTACCCCCTTCAGCCCAACCAGTAGATTAGTACATCGCCTGCGTCGTATCGAAGGGCCGCGATGGACAACACACGCGTTGGGGCTGACACGTGTTCTGATGATCATCGACAGGAGGCCTCGGGCCTTCGAGAGGCTTTCGTGAGCCCTGTCCGAAGCTGCAGGGGCCTTCGCAGAAGGCCGGCTGGCTTCCGAGAAGCCCCGGGGGCCTTTCGAGAAGGCCCGTCGACTGCACGTACGGTCAGCCCGCACAGTAAGGATGGGCAGCCATCCCAAGGGCACCCTTGCATCCTCGCCCCCTCGGCCCACCCTTCGCCCCTTTCGTTGGCCGCGCCCCGCTCGGAACGCTTCGAAGGGGGCGCCCAAGGCCCTTGCATCCTTACCGCGCGTCCTTGCTGCACGGGTTGGACCTGCGGTCAGCAAGCACACGATCTAGATTCCTCCCAAATGGGGTCCGATCGCATCGCATCGGCGCTGCGTCGGCGATGTCGTCGACGCATCGGCGACGTCGGCTTGGATAATATCGGACTCCACATCGAGTCACATCGCCGATGCATCGGCGATGATCGTTGCGCGATCTCCGACCCGAACCTCACCTCTGGGTCGGTTTTGGAGGTCGCCGAGGCGATCGCGGCAGCCGCGCCGCAAATCGTGGCCAGGCCTTTGCCAAAGAGTGGCATGCCCGGCCCCCCCCGCTCTGCGATGTAGTTGTGAAATATCAGTATTGACAACGTAGTGACAGAGAGTTTTATTTATTCATGTCCAACATGGACAGATCTGTTCTTGGTTAGGTCGGCATCACCCACACATACTCAGTACTATTTGTGCATATGCACCCCAGGGTTATGATGTTCCAGCCTACTTTAGCCTTGATCACCATAAATAATTTCGAACACTGGGAAAGTACCGAAACTTGAGGGTCTTCACGTGTCGGGCCTTGTCAGGCGATACTCGCTCGACACTGCTTCGACACTGTTTCTGGGTGCTCGAAATCATCTCTGGGATGAGGTCCTGGAGTGCGATGGGAGCAACGTTCGCAGGCCTAGAGGTTCACACCAACACCAATTTCGGCGGCGTGCCTCCACCGAGGGAAGAAGATCCCGATCTCGGTGATGGTGGTAATATTCTGGCTTCCAAAGTGGCCGAACTATTACCACCAACACCGAAATCTAGGATCATCTTCCCCCTGTGGAGGCAGACTCTTGTGTTGGTGTTGGTGCCCATTTCCAGGCCTCCAAAACGTGACCCCAGGGGGCGACGCGCGCGCTGGAGAACCTGACGGTGTGCTCGGCGGCGGGCGCTGGCTGGCTGCCTTTGCCCACGGATCTGTACAGGCGGCCTGTACCCGATGACCTGGTCGGACGCGTGCCTCCCAGGAGGACACGTATCAGGAGGGGACACGACACACAGGCACAATGAATCGTCGATTCCCCAGCAAATAGGGGAACATATGAAAAGCGGGGGGGAAGACGAAAACCCAGAAAATATGGGAAGACATGGGGAATCCTGTGATTTGCTTCTATTCATTTGTGTGTCCCAGGGCCCCTTCAACATAGTACCAGTATGTCCTTCTACGCCCCTTGAGGGGTCGAGCATCACGCAACCTGGCGTGGCGCAAGCCGTCCAGGTAGTGCGCTTCCTCGGCAGCCGGGCTGCTCCCGCGGCCCGTCGGGCCGCTCGGCGCTCCCCCGCGGCATCGCGAACGGAGCCGGTTCCCGGCATCCGACGCTGCCGGCCGTGCCCTCCGCTGGGGGGTCCGACGGCCGCCGCCGCGCCAGGCGTGGGTGGACGAAGTAGACATTTTTTTGTTGTTGCACGAATTCCAGAATTCGTTTCTGAATTCGCTCAAGAGCTCTTCTCAACATAGATACATGCCAGTCTTGATTTCTGGGGGCAGTCTGTCGTAGCCGGCCTCGTTCGGAGCGAAGGCGCAGAGTTGTTTGCTTCTTCCCGCTCCTCCTCCTCCTCCTCCTCCTCCTCCTCCTGGGCTTATGTATGAGCTTTGCTGCAATTCGCCTCCATAGGAGTGTGTGTTGTGCTAGTCACTTCAATTTCCTGGAATATCTCACGTAAGACTTAATGCTTGCCCACGCGCCGTCTCTAGGCGCATGGTGTACTGACTGACTAAATCGCCGATGTGCACATGCCTCGCCGATCGTGCCCTCCGTCTGGGGATCCGAGGGCCGCCGCCGCGCCAGGCGTGGGGGGTGTTCGACAAGATCCCAGACAAGAAGTTCACGAACTTCGACCAGGCCCCAGCGGGGCGAGCACGCGCGCAGCTTGGGCGCTGCGTAGTGGGGGGCGATCATCAGGGGCCCCCAGACGGTGACCACACCACGTGGTGAGTCGATGGGGACTCGGGGTCACCGCGCGGCTTTGGGACTCGGGTCGTTCTCCGAGGACGTCTCGGGCGACTGGTCCTCCAGGGTACCGTGCCACGGCGCGGTTTTGTGACCCCCACGATGAGCGGGGGGCGAGGGAAGGTGCACCTTTCGTGTACCTTTGGGGCTCTGAATGGCCTCCCCCTGAGGGCCCACGGGGTGCGCGAAAGGTGCACGTTTGTTCTCCCTCTGCGTTCACCGGCCCTCCTCCGTAGGTCCTCCGCAGGCCCTGGGGACCGTCAAAGAGCGGCTCGGGATGAAAGGCTGGTGCCAGGCCTGGGAAGGTCCAGGGGTCCAGGGCTCGTTTTTCTCAGAGCCCCGTTGGCTTCGTGCCAACAGGGCAGGGCAAGTGGAGGGGGATGAAGGAGGGGGGCGGGAGAATGAGAGTCAGGAGTAGCAGGAGGAGGAGGCTAAACCCTCCTGGGAGGAGAGGCTGAGGATAGGAGGATGATGAGGAGGAGGAGGAGGAGGACAGCAGAGGAAGAGGGTATCTATGTGGGGGAGGGTGGGGGACTGCCAGGGGAGGGCAGGAGGATGATGATAATAACTTAGGAGGCTGGGACAAGGGGGTAAGAGGATGAGAACAGCTGAGTAAGAGGACATCTATGAGGTGGGTATGAGGAGTGTCAGGGGAGGCAGTGGGAGGGCAGTAGGAGGGCAGGAGGATGAGGGCCACCCTCCTAGGAGGAGGAGGAGGAGGAGGAGGAGGAGTAGGAGGAGGAGGAGGAGGAGGAGGAGGAGGAGGAGGAGGAGGAGGAGAAGGAGGATGAGGAGGTGGAGTATGGTAGGATGTCGAGGACAGCGGAAAGGAAGGACATCTTGGACGGTAGGATCATGAGGAAGGACGACAAGAAATTGCCAGGCGGATGAGTATGGAGCAGGAGTAGGAGGAAGGAGGATGATGAGGAGGAGAATTGGGGTGGAGGAAGAAGATGCCGATGCTGATGATACTGCTGGTGAGGATGACGATGATGACGATGCTGCTGCTGTTGCTGCTGCTGATGATGCCGACGCAGATGACGACAATGCTGCTGATGATGTTGCTGCTGCTGATGATGCTGATGATGCTGATGATTATGCTGACGATGAGGATGTTGATGCTGACGATGCCGATGCTGATGCTGATGCTTCTGCTGAGCATGATGATGATGCTGATGTTGATGACGATGATCATGATTATGATTGTGAAGTTGGCGACAGTGAGGATGAGAATGATGATGCTGCTGATAATACTGATGCAGATGATGACGATGACTCTGCTGATGATGATGACGATGATGATGATGAGGATGATGATGCAGAGGGTGCTGATGCAGATGATGCTGATGTTGATTATGATGCTGCTGATGGTGCTGATGCTGATGATGACGAAGATGCTGTGGACGATGATGACTCTGCTGTTGCTGCGGATGACCATGATGATGAGGATGAGGATGAGGATGAGGATGAGGATGATGATGATGATGATGATGATGATGATGATGATGATGATGGTGATGATGCTGATGATGATGATGATGATGATGATTATTGTGATGGCGATGAGGAGGATCGTGGTGATGGTGATGCTGGCCATGATTCTGCTGCTGCTGAGGATGATGATGATGGTGTTGGTGGTGCTGATGATGATACTGATGATGATGAGGATGATGATGAATCTGATGAGTATGCCGCTGATGATGATGATGATGATGATGATGATGATGATGATGACGATGCTAGTGATGATGATGCTGATGATGATGCTGCTGCTGATGATGATTATGATGAGTAGGATGGTGGTGATGATGATGATGCTGATGTCGGTGATGATGATGATGCTGCTGCTGATGGTATTGATGATGCGGCTGCTGATGATGATGCTGGTGATGCTGATGATGTTGATGATGATGATGATGCTTATTAGTATGATGATGCTGATTATCATGATGCTGGCGACGATGACGATGACGATGACGATGGTGATGACGATGACGATGGGGACGACGACGACGAGGATGATGATGATGGTTGCGATGGTTATGCTTATGATGATGATACGATGATGATGATGATGGATGATTATTGTGATGTTGCTGATGATCCTGATGATGGTTGCGGTGGTGGTAATGATGATGCTGATGATGATGATACTGATGCTGATGATGATGCTGATGATGATACTGATGACGATGATGATGCTGATGATGATGATGACGATGATTATGATTCTGATTCTGATGATGATGCTGATGATGATGACGACCATGATGATGACGATGGTGCTGATGATGCTGCTGCTGATGATGATGAGGATGATGATGATGCTGCTGATGCTGATGCTGATGCTGATACTGATGTTGCTGGTGGCGGTGGTGGTGATGATGATGCTGCTGCTGATGATGATGATGCTGATGCTGATGCTGATGCTGATGCTGATGATAATGATAATGATGATGATGATGATCATGATGATGATGATGATGATGATGATGATGATGATGATGATGATGATGATGATGATGATGATGATGATGATGATGATGATGATGATGATGATGATGATGATGATGATGATGATGATGATGATGATGATGATGATGATGATGATGATGATGATGATGATGATGATGATGAGATGATGATGATGATGATGATGATGATGATGATGATGATGATGATGATGATGATGATGATGATGATGATGATGATGATGATGATGATGATGATGATGATGATGATGATGATGATGATGATGATGATGATGATGATGATGATGATGATGATGATGATGATGATGATGATGATGATGATGATGATGATGATGATGATGATGATGATGATGATGATGATGAGGATGATGAGGATGATGAGGAGGAGGAGGAGGAGGAGGAGGAGGAGGAGGAGGATGATGCTGAGAAGGAGAAGGAGACGGAGGAGGAGGAGGAGGAGGTTGATGATGAGGATGATCAGGAGGAGGAGGAGGAGGAGGAGGAGGAGGAGGAGGAGGAGGAGGAGGATTGATGAAGTGGGGGAGGGATGAGAAGGGGGGTGGGCGAGGATATGGTCGGCGATCGTAACAGGGAGGATGATGAAGGTGAGGAGATCGTAATACGAGGAGGGGTGAGGCATCCGAGAGGGGAATTGTAGGAGGCACTAGCAGGAGGGAGGGAACGAGCATGAGGGAAGAGCGGAAACAGACTGAGGAGGAGGGAGAAGGGGGTCACTTGGTGGGAGGAACTGGGAGGGGTGATGGAGGAGGGACGAGGGAGGAAGCGAAGGAGGGGAGGAGGCAACGCCGCCACTGGGACGAGACCCCTCGCGCGCCGAACGGCGCCCCCCCCCTTTGGGGCCGCCCTCGGGCTCCCACGTCGCCCGCGGGGGAGCGGAAAGCAATCGCGTTCCGCGCGTCGGGGCCTTGGCCGCGAGAGGCGCCTTTGTCGTCTTCGCGGGGGAGCGCCCGACCCAGAAGCCAGGTTGCCGTGCTCTTTGTTTTTTATCACCGTGTGGGGTCTCTGGCGGGTCGGGCATAGAAGCGTAGATTTTCAGAGAATCCCTGCGCACGGAGCCGGAGCCGGCGACGATGGTTGCGCCTTGCCCCTCGCATTGTCGACGCCGGAGTGCTGTTGTACATACTCATGCATGCGATCTGCAACCACTAGGCACGGTTCACCCGACCTGTGCACCCCCAGGAGGTCTGGGCCCCTTCCCGGGGGTGGGGTCTGGCTTTGCACCCCGCGGTCCTCCTTCGTCCCGCCCCAGGAGGCGCGGCGAGGGCCCCAGCAGCGGGCGAGAACCGTCCGTCGTGTAGTCTGTGTCACGACTGCGAGGTTGTCATGGGCCGAAGCTTGCCACAACCTCCCGTCGTAATCTGCGTCACGACGCTGGAGGTGATCTCTTGGGGAGAGGGCCTCGTGGCGAGGACGCGGGGGTGCGGAGTCTCGGAGGCGTGGCAGGTGTACGGGTCCACCTCGCTCATCCCCTGGCCCTCTCCCCTCTCCTATGAAACTGGGAGGGCGATCAGAGGAGCGGTAGGGGGAGGAGAGGAGGGAGGTAGGTCAGACCCTTTTCTAGATGCAGCTTCGCGCGGCACTCGTTTCGTCACTGGTCGAGTCGCCTGGTCTTCGAGCTTGCCCACCCGGCCAGATCCGCCCCTTTGCAGAGTCTGCGGACTGGCATGGCGACCCCCATGTGGTGGCTTGAAGTACAGGCCCTCGACAACATCCCGAATGAGGAGGAAGGCGGATCAGATCCACTTCCTCCCTCCGTCCCTCCCCCCTCCCTCTTAAATTTGTTCTGTCACTATGTAAATCGCTCCAGCAATCGAAGACGCCCATGGCGAATCACCGCCGCCTCCGTCTTTTAGGAAACGCCCATTCGGCCAAACGTTGGGCTGAAGTCTGGCCAAGCTATTGGACCATGTGTTCTCCCCGCCATCGTGGAACCCCTTGGGGGAACACTTGGGAGAGGAAAAGGAAAAAGGAGGAGGATGAGGAGGATGAGGAGAGGGAGGGGAATGAGTAGGAGGAGGATGAGGAGGAAGAGGATGCAGGTCTATGGGGCCATCTTGGGGCTATCTTGGGCGCCTCTTGGGCCGTCTCTCGGTCATCTTGGGCGCCTCTTGGGCCGTCTTGGGGCTATCTTGGGGCCTATGGGGCTGTTTTGGAGCGTCGGAAGCCCGAAAAGGCGAGAACGCTAACATCATTGAACACCCTACGGCTCAATGATTTTAGGCTCCTGGGGGTCCTCTTGGAGCCCTCTTGTGGCGTCTTGGGGGCTTGTTTCAGCCATCTTGGGGCCGTCTTGGGCTCCCTTGGGGCCATCTTAGCCGTCTTGGAGGCGTCTTGGAAATGTCTCGGAGGCCATCAAAGCCGTCTTGGAGGCCACCTTGG